ATTTAAAAAAAAAAAATATTCGATGAAACCTACTGATAATGTGTGAGTGGGTTTTGCTGATAAAACTGAATCAAGGCCTTAATTGGAGAATATTTCCATGTTTAATGAACGAGCCTCATAGGAACATGACTCAACGTTGAGAAAATAAACTTAACTTAGCCAGAAATGCTAAATAAAGCATTTAATCTAGTTTCTTAGTTAGACTCTAATTTAAGCAAATACATTGAAGCAAAAAGAGGGAATATAAGAAAACTGCAAAAACTCAGTAGCGTCACTCAGGTCTCAAACAAGCTTTTGTCACTTGTGCCATTACAGAGAGAACTTATACCACTAGTATATCAGACTGATCCCATCCAAAGGGCAGTCCGGATCCAAAATGCCTTTTCGTGTGTACACTTAAGACACCCTTCCCTGTAAAATACATTAGTGTTTTGCGCTTTTACTGTAGGTAATGTCAGATTTTGAGCTGATTAGCTTGTTTCTTTCTTTACAGGAAGCGTGAACGAAACCTGTTGCTTGATGTCATGCTTGTCATGTATGCCAGGAGATGGTTTGTGGAAGAAGCTGTCCCACATGTCAGAAGAGCCCTTAGAAAATGTGGTGCTTTACCGGAAGACACAGATTAGTAATGGAATCCATACAATTCTAGAATGTCAAATACATTACGGTTCAGTCTGAAGCTGCTACATACTACGTTAGGAGATATTGTTTGTTTTGCAAACTGAAAGCAGGCCATTCTGTGTGTGTACACATGTTTTTCGCACAGCACTTGGCTCTATCACGAATGTTGTTTTTGTCAAGCCTGTACTTGGCAAGAGTTTCTGCAAATTGTAAGCCTGTTGATGGAATTGTATTTCTGACTCTGAGCTTTTGAATGAGTCACCAGTAGATTCACAACAAAGATGTGTTTAGGGCCTGCCATTTACACCAAGTCTATTAGCATATGAAAACAAGGAATGTGTGATACAGGAAAGTTACGAACATATGTTTTATTAGGAACACACAAAAATATTCTTTAACATGCAGTGTAATGAATTCCTGGAGTTCATTCACCATACACATGATTATTAAAGTTTATACAGTTTAGACACATGGCATTAGTTTTTTAGTTTGGCCACTCTGACCTCAAATTTTAAATTTGCTGTTGAATTCTTGACAATTCACACATTACAGAATAACCATTAGGTTATTAGGTACTTAAAACCTGGCAGGATTCAGGTGCAATTGTAGTAAAAGCAAAAAATGATCTATATACTTAGCAATTCTAATTTCTACTGACATAAATATGGACTTGACTCAGGAGTTGGCTGTGCTCATGATGGAATTACATTTTCTAAAACATAGATAATCAGGTTAGCTGACGATGCATTGTTTGCAGATTTAAGTACCCATAAAATGTTTATATGTGGAGATGACCAAAGGTAGCTGTTGCATTGTGGGAGTTGTTATTCTGCAAGAGCCAAATGGCTACCATTTGGCTAACCCTGGTTTAGTCAGTACCCAAAACAACAATTTTGTGAGTTTTACCTGAGAATTGTTGCAATTTAAAACTTAATTTCACAACGAATAGATGTTCACGGCATATGACCGGGCCATCATAAATTATAGTTTATTTTCTTATGAGCTCACATAAAACTCAGTTTATATGAACATTGTATAATGTTTTGTAGTAAAATTAATCAATAGCAGCAGACTTCAGCTTAGATTTAGTCAGGGCTCAAGGAGAAAAATATACATGCATCTCAAGGGGTCTTAAATGAAAAGTGTCATTTTTTTTATTTCTGAAAATAAAACATTACATTTAATAGAGTCACGTTCAGCAATATTTTATAATGAATATATAACTTAATAACTTTTTTGGCCCATCTCCTAGCTTATCCTTGCTTTGTGGGGCAGGCATCCCAGAGTGTATTTCTAGAGAAACACTATGGTCCAAGCACTCAGGAAGTGTGGATAAGGTAGTTTTATTGGAGAACACGGCAGTCTTTATCAAGCACCTCAGCCTAGGTCGAAACATTGCTGTGTTCTCCAATAAAACTGCCTTATTCACACATCTTAAAGGACCACTATAGTGCCAGGAAAACATACTCATGTTCCTGGCTCTATAGGGTCCTTGGGACCCCCTCACCCTCAGGGCCCCCCTCCCGCCGGGCTCTAGGAGGAGGAAGGGGTTAATCCCTTACCTTTTTTCCAGCGCCAGGCTCCCTCGGCGCTGGGGACTCTCCTCCTCCTTTCCCGTCATCTGCTGAATGCGCATGCACGGCACGAGCCGTGCGCGCATTCAGCCAGTCTCATAGGAAAGCATTCTCAATGCTTTCCTATGGATGCTGGCGTCTTCTCACTGTGAAAATCACAGTGAGAAGCGAGGCAGCGCCTCTAGCGGCTGTCAATGAGACAGCCACTAGAGGCTAGATTAACCCTAGTGTAAACATAACAGTTTCCCTGAAACTACTATGTTTACAGCAGAAAGGGTTAATCCTAGAGGGACCTGGCACCCAGACCACTTCATTGAGCTGAAGTGGTCTGGGTGCCTATAGTGGTCCTTTAAGTGCCTGGACCTTGTTTCTTTACCAGTGACCGAGGATTAGCTACCCCCTGTTCCAGTTAAGCACCTTGTTTGTGGAGAGAGTGCGCAAGTGTTGAGGCTGAACACAGATAAGGTCTCTGAATAGATTGATTTCAGCTCAGACACATTACATTTTCAAGTTGTTAAGGGGGTGCAAAAGCAGCAGGCTTGTTGGCGGGTCACCTGAGCAGGCAAGGCTCCCAGAACCTTGTGATCGTCTTCCATGACCAAGTTGTCTATGTGCTCAGAGAACACCTGCACAGAAGCTATAATAGATGTAATCTTTTATTTTAATTAATGAAAAATTATGATAGTTTTCCATGAAATAAAAAAATCGATTGTAAAAATATATTTTATAAACCAACCACATGAAAACAAATTGTAAATGGTTTTGTTGCTGCTTAGTCATAGTAGATTTTTTACCATCTAAGACTCAAGAGTATAAGAGAATCTCATTTGGCAAAGTCAACAATATCTTTTTAATGTGAACTTGTATGTTTGCTATAAAATATTTCTTTCCAATGATCGCTAATCATCAGATGTTGATTTGCATACAGCAAAAGTGATGTAATTTTTTTTTTTAAATAACTTACTCATTATGTAACATTATTTTACAGAACTGCTGTTCTATTCTATAATCTAATAAATGGGAAAGCAAAATTCACTGTAAATAGTCATTTTGTTTTATGTTGCTAAAAGTCATTATTCTATTTATACAGGAAAACAAACAGCACATTTTTTTATCCATACCTCTGGATGCTTCTTGAATATGCTCTTATGAATTATTTCGACCTTTAATCCATTTTATTTATGCACAAACAAATACAGTTATTTTTATTCGCCTCCTCGGTTGCTTTAAAACGTAATTAAACTTTTTTTTTCATCTTGCATTATAGAGGTTTCCTTTAATTCGACAATATTCGTATCCTAAATTGTTTATTATTGGCATGAGATTAGAAGAAAACAAAGTTCTGAAGCATTAGGTGTAAATCACTGTTTAAATTATATGCCTGATTATAAGAGTTATGAAACACATATAAAATGTTTGCAGTGATACATAAGTTTGCCATAAAATAAGGAATAGAGTGACATAAGTAAGAGTTTTCTGTGTACAGATATTGAAAGCTATATGAATATAGCACTGATTGTTTCCTGAATTTTAACTAATATAGTAAAAACCACAAGCTCTCATAGCGGAGATTATCTTTGATCATGTTGCGATGGGGCATGACACTGTAAACTAAAAAGCACACAAGTGAATAAGAAGGACAATCCCTTTTAAAACATGAAGTAATATGAAAAAATGAAAAGAAATCCGTGCTTATCAAAAATAATGAGAAAATATGGCTTTGAAAGTAAGGTAACTATTCTAAAAGCAGTGTGACAAATTGTTGTCCAAATTAGTTTTTAGGCTTTTAATCTCATTTGCTGTCACTATAGCCATTGTTAGTTACATAGAAACATAGAATGTGACGGCAGATAAGAACCATTCGGCCCATCTAGTCTGCCCAATTTTCTAAATACTTTCATTAGTCCCTAGTCTTATCTTATAGTTAGGATAGCCTTATGCCTATCCCACGCATGCTTAAACTCCTTTTACTGTGTTAACCTCTACCACTTCAGCTGGAAGGCTATTCCATGCATCCACTACCCTCTCAGTAAAGTAATACTTCCTGATATTATTTTTAAACCTTTGTCCCTCTAGTTGAGACTGATATCATTTGGACACACTAATAAAAACCAAAACCGAAACACATGTATGGCACCACTACCAAGCAAAGATGTTAGGCAAATAAAATTAGATCATGATGGTAATAGCATGTCATCTGTCATGAAGGGGTTAAAATAACAGTTGCATGTACGGGACAAACAGGTTATACGCTGACAGTAATTAGATTTACCACCGAGCAAATCCCTCTAAAAATGTGGAGATTGAGCCTCGGGCCAAAGACGCAGGCTCACAGGCGGGATGTCATGTTGTCATGTATTCTTCCTTTTACTGGTTACAAAAGATAGATCGTGTTTTCTTTCAAACGCTGTATTGTACAGAGTGACACCTTTAGCTGTTTGCTTACACACACAAGAAATGTACGTAAAGACACATACACACAAACACACAATCCCTCTACAATTCCTAAAATTCAGGACTGTGTTCAGATAATGATGACTGCATCGTGGAAATAGTTTGCATTAGACAGTTTCAGGTTATAGTCTATCCTGAAATATAAATATGAAATATTTTCTATAACAGAGATGCTTAACAGCCAATGAAGAAACAAACACATTTATTCCATTAATTTCATTTTTTTTTTTTAAACACTCGCAAACATTTATGAAAGGTGAAAAGAGAGCTAGTAAGTTCTAAAAATATAGTGATTTCATGAAAATGAAATATTTCTGAACATAGTATAAAAATATATATCCTAAAGAAAATGTTAAAGTACGAACACGCTGTAAATTAGATTTTTGTTTCTAAAACAGATTATCTACAAATAGAAAACAAAAGCTCATCCAATCCATAAAATGCCAGTGGCAATGTAACTTTTCACTTCACATTAACCTCATGTCAAAATGCCAGGGAGAGTACATGCCGATTTCTCTTAATTGGTCATAAGCATGGATTGAAGCTGAAGAATTCAAAAAGCAGGGTTACAGCTGTACACATAACCCCAAATAATAATTATTTAAACTAAAACTTAACCCCTTAAGGACACGACATGTGTGACATGTCATGATTCCCTTTTATTCCAGAAGTTTGGACCTTAAGGGGTTAAAGTGGCATTAGAAAAATCTATCTGAAAGTTACTCCTACCAGGACAGCTGAGTATGCCAGTTGACAATTCTAATGAATGGCGTCCAAATACTATCGGAATAAATATTGCTAATAAGAATGTGCAGTTTCCACAATTTCAATATGTCAAGCAAGTGGCCAGGCCAGAGATACCCTGGGGACTCTCTGTGTCACACCACTCAAACATGTCTTAGAACCAAAGAATCAACCAAGCTAGCACCATTATATAAGAACATGAGATAGAGGTTATGGTGTTTTGATTATCCCTTTAACCCCTTAAAGACCAAACTTCTTGAATAAAAGGGAATCATGACATGTCACACGTGTCATGTGTCCTTAAAGGGTTAAAACAGAACTATGTATAACTCTGAGAAAGACATATGTATGTGTCATGAGCAACAAGTATACATATACAGAAAACAAATGAATGTGTCACCCTAAAACATATGTATGGTTCTATTCTGAGGATCAAACATGTGAGTGGACAGAAACATTAACATGTCAGATGAGCAAAATAGTATTTTTTTCCATGGTTTCTGATCTGCTTTTTAGATTACAACGGTACCCATCTAAAACGGTAGCATCCTGTAGAGTCTGTAAGTAGATTTGGATTGCTGGGGTTACATTGGGCAGACCTTAGGTATGGAAACTCAGTGTTCAAAGATGCAAAGCCATGGTTGGTATAGAGCTATAACTCATAGGAGTGGTAGATATAGAACAGCTGGGGATCTGTAAAAAGACTAAATACAGCTTTGCATACTTTAAAGTCATAGGTTTGCATTAGTGTTAAATGACCTGGAATTTAAACTATGGGTTTAGCCCACATGTAATTTATTGAATTGTGTTATTTCAAGTTTTCTAGACCACTTTCTCTTTCTTCAAATCACACGTGCTCCACAATCAATTTTACAGATAAAAGGGCACTTATATGGATTATTGTCTTCCCTTAAAAATAACTGACAGTTTTTTAAATGAATGGTGCTACATTTATAAATTAAATAAGAGAATCAATGTGAAAATGGTCTAAAATACAACAAAAAGGCACTTTAATTAAAATACATAAAAACAAAAAAGGCCAATAGTCTTAGTTTGTAAATGTAAAATGTTTGTCTGCATGCTAATGTAGAGCTTCTTGAGCTATTTTATACTATTCTCTCAGCAAGTATCTCTTTAGGGATTGTTAAAAAAAAACAAAAAAACACCATTAAACAAGCATGTAATAATTAAAACTAAACAACACTGCCAATTAAAATGGTCCATCGAGAGAGAGTATAAAAAATAGTCCAACTTTGGTATGGACTACAAGAGAGATTACGTATTATGTCCATCAAAGAACAGTGAATGGTGAGGCGCATGCGTGCCATATGTGAACGAGGTCCGGAACGCACTCACTAGATGTGGAACAGCTGATTCACTCGCCGCGGACAGGCTGGAGAAAGCAGCGGGAAGAAGTTTACCGGTATAAAAAGAAGTGAAGGACGCGAAGGACACAAGCTACATTCACGGGTTGCTAAAGAACTATTGAACCCCTGAGGAAGTCCGGGTATTAAACGGACGAAACGCGTAGGATTGGTGCTGTATTAGAGAGTTGATTGTTTTTATGTTTTCATTTTATTTTTGTCCAATAAATTCATTTAATATCTCAACAAGTCATCTCCAAACATTTCTTGGGATCCAGCCAGAAACTACATCCTTTGAGATGTGATGAGCACTAATAACACTTGGATCTTGTAAGTGTACTAATATTAAGTGTCAGTCCTTGTTTTTATGGTCTACACCTATTTTGTGTTTACTTTCACTCTTCTATATGTCCATTCGCATCTGAGGATATTTTCAGTCATCACACAGTATTTGATACGCCTACAATCAATTTGAATCTTATACTCTGTGTATTGGTACTATTGAGGACCCGGAGGAGTCCTGTCATATTCTTCTACAGTTTGAGGGGACTGTTATTTTAGGTAAACCTGATTTGTGGGGTTTTCACACTTTGTATTTATTTCACTTTCTGTATCAAGGTGAAAGTTCTTTTGTATTACATTGATAACGAGGGGGCATTGAACAGAAGAGGATGTGTCTCATAGACTGTCATTTTGATTTAATGCTTTTAAACTGATAAAACCACTATTAGCACCATGATTTTATAACCTCACTCTTTCCAAAAAAATCTATATATCAGCTCAATATGACTCAACCTTAAAATAGGTTGAGGATGAGGTTATATAACATCGTCGCTGTGATCACTATCTGCGCTGTATTCATCCTGCTCCTGATCTTTGATCTCAGAATGTGCAGACCCATTTTTATCACTCTCTTCATTATCCTGCAAATCATCCAATTCTAAAGTGCCTTCAGTGCTGCTAGAGATAAACAAAAAAGAAGAAAATATAAAAATAATCAAATGAAAATATTCAATTAATGTACAGTTTGACTATAAACTTTAAGAATAAACAAAAATATTTCAAAAGATTTGCTGAACAAATAAGTACATTTCTATGATAAAAAATACAATATTCCTGTATTTTAAAACTACAAACGGCATGGGTCGAACTCTGAGGCTAGTTGCCATTGAGAATGCACTGAGAGCACATGCATGTGTAGGAGCAGCCATTTTGACTCACCCCTTCAAAAGGAGGTGATTGGTTAATGGCAGCCTTACAGACACCAGTGAGAAAAAGTTATCAGGTGTAGGACATAAGTAATTAGCTATTGTTAGTGAGTGTTAGTGTGTGTCAGTGTGTGTCTGTTAGTGAGTTTGTGTGTCTGTTAGTGACAGTGTGTCTGTGTCTGTTAAGAGTGTGTCTGTGTCTGTTAAGAGTGTGTTTGTGTCTGTTACTGAGAGCATATATGTGCTTGTCTGTGGGTGTGTATGTGTTTTGGTCATTGAGTGTGTATGTGTTGGTCAGTGAGTACAATGAGTATATGTGTGTCCCAGTGTGTGTGTGACACTGAGTCAGTGTGTGTCTGTCAGTGACTATGCATGTGTGTCTTGTCAGGGAGTGTGTATGTGTCTGTAAATGTGAGTGTTTATGTATGTGAATATCAGGGCCGTCTTTAAGGAGGGGCAAAAGGGGCAGCTGCCCCGGGCCCAGTTACTCCTGGGGGCCCTAAGGCAGCTGCCCCATGGGCCCCCTGCGGCACCTGAGGTAATCAGGGGCCACAGCCCTTTAATACTGCTCTGGACCGGCCCGGGCCCCTGTTATATGGGGGGTGGCTGACTACATACTCACAGCTAGCCCCCTCACATACTGCCCTGTGAGTCTCTTTGTTTCCTGGGCATGCTGGGAGGCAGTGAGGTCAGATTGCTTCCTCCCAGTAAGAACTGATCACTTCCTCCTCAGTGCCGCTGGGGAGGAGGCACACACCACATGGAGGAGGATGCAAGCATTGTGGGGGAGAGGGACTGAGAAAGCTGATGGCAGACTCCCATCAGCCTGGGCCAACAAGCTCTCACTGGACCCCAGGGAAGCCACCTTTCTGTACCCAAAAGGTAAGGAGACAGGAGGGTGGCTAAATATGTTTTGTTTTTTGTTTTGCTAATTTCTGATATCACTTTTATTCAAGTGTTGGTGTTTGTAATGTAACACACAGGGAATAAGTACATGTTAAAAATCCTAGAAGAACCTGACAGTTCCCTATTAAATATAAATGTAAAAAGTATTTATTTTAACATATTGCATCAAGTGTTATCAAAGGCTGTACACCATTTTCAAATGTCACTTTTGCCAAATTCTGGACCAGGGTATGTAAGAACAGAGTTGAGACATTATATTGGCCAAGGTTGCTGGGAGTTGCTGTCCAAGAGCTGCTAGAAGGCAGAGATTAAAATATGTAAATGTACACATATATATGTGTGTATCTGGCTGTGTTTATGTCCTTGTGTGTATCTGGCTGTGTTTGTCTGTGTGTCAGTGTTTCTGTGTGTATGTATACCTCATACACCTGTATGTGCACCTGTGTGTGTGTTTCGGTGTGTGTGTAAGTGTGCATCTGAGTGTGTGGTAATGCATACATCCCAACATTTTAATGCCAACACAAATACACTCCTACATTCCATCTCTAGCTCTGTACACATATACACCCCTGCATTTATACCTTTATGTATGTGTGTATCTGAGTGTGTGTGTGTATATACCTGTGTCAGTGTGTGTGTGTATGTGCCAGTGTGTGTATATCAAAGTGCTCGTATCTGTGTGTCAAAGGGTGTGTATCTGAGTGTGTGTATATGTGTATGTGCCAGTATGTGTCAAGGTGTGAGCATGTGTCAGTGTGAGCATGTGTGTATCTGCGTGTTAATGTGTATGTGTATATGTGTTATAGAAATCACACAACATGCAAACAGACCCCTGCAAACACAAACATTACAAACACACCAGTTTGCTGAAACACTAATACTACACACAAATGTACACATGTATTTAAAAGACAACACTACATCCAAACACCCCCCTGCATGCAAATACAAACATTACATGCAAACACATTCCTGTATTAAAACGCTAAAATTATATACAAACACCAACTCTACACACAAAAGTACACCTGCATTTAAAAGCCAACACTACAAACAATCACACATCCCTGCATTAAAATGCAAACACTACACACAAGTACACCACTGCATTCCAATGGTAACAGTACATACAAATACACTCCTACATGCACACATACACTCTATACAATAACATGCTGACATTCATTTGCACAAACACTGCTCAAAAATACAACCCTGCAAGGATGGTAGATCCCCAGCTGGCATAGCATCGCAGGAGTTGTATGACAGATGGGGATCTATCTTTTCTTTACTCTTGTGCTACAGGGCAGGCCTGAATTATTTTTTGTTGCACCAAGGCACTCTCTACATTAGTTTCGCCTCTAGGTTGGGGTGGAGGGAGTGATTGCATGCCCAGGGGGCCCAAACAGATGCTTGCCCAGGGTCCAATCAATATTAAAGACGGCCCTGGTGAATATGTATGTTTCAGTGAAAGTGTGTGTTGGTTAAACAGTGTGTGTGACAATGACTATGTATGTGTCTGTCAGTAAGAGAAATTTGAAGGGGGGAGGAGGGTGTCTGGGTTTTGTCATGCCTAGAGCAGCACAAAGCCAGAATACAGCACTGCCTCTTTCAGTTAGATTCCCCAAGGCTCTATACTTAGTCCCCTTTTATTTTCTCTTTATACTGTTGCTTGGCAAACGTATTAATTCCTTGGGATTCCGCTACCACACGTATGCCAGTGACACACAGATATATGTATCCTCCCTTGATCTCTCCCCCACTGTCCTGAAACACGTCACCAGTTGCTATTCTTCTACCTCTGATTGTATGTCATCACGCTTTCTGAAACTGAACCTCTGAGATTCTTATTTTTTCTCCTCCTCTGCTCTCCCTGCAAGTTCATAGTAATTGCATCAGCCCTTCCCTGCAAGCTCACTGTCCTGGTATTATCTTTGATTCAAAAACCAGCAGAAGTGGAACAAGATGGCGCTATAGTCTATTACAAAGTGCAAGTGCTCATAAAGAAATAATTAAATAGTGTCACTATTAGGCATGTAGCCAACCACATAAACCCTAGTAAAAAGATCCTAGATAAATACTTGATAAGTTGGTGCGCAAACAATTTAAATATTCTATACATGTTTCACAATCTATAACATGTATGGTAAAAATAGAAACAATGTGTATAAGTGATCACTAAAATACTCTGATTATAAAAACCAATTGGTGACCCACACAGGTGTAACACAATCACCAACGTGGTAATTAACAAATATTAATAAAATAATTGGTATGTACGCCCCTTCTTGGTCTGTCCATTTAGCCAGTGACCTTCTCGTCTGCTCCTCGCAGAGATATATCTACCAACCTACATTATAGCAGGCATATTTACTTACCTGATGACTATTTAAAAAAATATATATCGATGGCACTGCTAAAAGGGCTCAATCACCCTCTAGATTATTCATTACTCCCACCTAGATTGCCAGCGGTGATAGGCAGGCACGGCCCCTAACTAAACTGGGCAGAGTAGGCACCTCCTCTAACTAAACTGGGCAGAGTAGGCAGGTGATTACTCAATTTTTCAGTGTCCGGACTAAAGGAGAGTATGGGCAACAAGGGAGGACTATACTTTCTGTGCTCTGCCTGCAGTGTAGGCAACTGGGATATGACATCATCTTGGCATCAGCATCACTAGAGGGTGCTGTGGAGCACAATAATCCCACCAACCCCACTGGTCACCAGGGTGAGGATCCACTCCATCTCTCCCAGGGCAAGGTAGGGAGGCTGGGACTCTTAATTAATAAAAACAATTGTGTTTGTGTATGAATGATTGTGTATGTCAGTGATTATGTGGGTCTGTGATTGTGTATATTGTCACCACTGCTCAAGGCATAAGTAAAATCCTATATGCTACTAAATAATTTTCACACAACAGTTACGCTCTAAAAATCTAAAATTGTATAAACATATTCCCAGCTGCTATTTTGTGACATTAAACAAATTACGTTTTCCAATTACCTATCCTCGTCGTTTGTATATTGTTCTTCCTTATTGGCACGGACATGATTTTGTAGGTCAAAACTCTTTCCTTTTTGTATAACAAAATCCTCGCACAGGCCCAGATTTCTTAGCACCTTAGAGTACTGCTTTTCAGCAGCAAGACACGCGTTTTTCTGCATGAAGTAGAAATAAACAGAGGTTTAATGACAATGAAACAAATAAATAGATTTGGTTCACAATTTAACATGACATATATTGAAAGCAGATTTTCTTAAACCTTTTGGCTTATCGCGGTGCAGTCTATTCACAAAACCCTCAGACTGATTACTATGAGATGCAACTAATTAACTGAGTAGTAAAGATTTGAAGGATAGTGAAAAGCCAGTAATCAAGTGCTAACGTAATCTTTTAACTGAATTCCTTTTCAAATAGTTTAACTGAATTTCTAAGCAATCACGTAGAGTGGTGAAAGTAATCAACAAATGTGTTTCTTCTCAAGTAGAAAATAAATAGTAGGGGTTACATGAAGGAAATGATCCCTGGCCCAACTAATAAGTGTAGTTGGGTCTAAATGGTAATAAGCAAGGTTTACATTTATGAGTTCATACAATGCCACTGCCAGAAGATGCTTTGTTCAATTGAAATCACATTACATAAACCACATACATTGGCATGCTCATAGCTGTTACAGGTGGTTTATCTCAAATCGGAATTCATCCCAAGGTGAATGACAGATGTTATGGTATGTGAGTGGAGTGGTGTGACAAAACCGTTCTGTGCCTTGTGAAATTGTGAGAGCTGTAGCACAAATGCTGTCCATCATGATTAGATAGCTATTTATTAAAGTATAGCAGAGAATAGATCACTGGTGGATGACCAGCTATTCTATATAGAAAAACACTGAAGAATGAGGTAAGGTAAAAAACATACTGATGGGTAATCTGCCACTCTCCCACACTAAATAAATATCTCACCTAAAAAATGTGCTAAAATATAGGCATGGGGCATATAAAGCAAGCTTGTGAGAAGCTAAAACATCAAATACTTAGGATGGTTCGCTAAAGTTTAGATGGTCAAGAATGGAATTCAAAGCAAATCTCAAATTTTAGGTCAATATAATCAAACTGAAAGCATGGCAGACTTTTTTTTTAGTCATTTTCCATTTCAGTTATTATGGACTAAAATTTGATATTTACTTTGAATTAACTTTGAATTCTTAACAATTTACAAATTTGTAAACAGCCCTGCCTGATTTGTATGTGTGTGTGTGTGTGTGTGTTTCTGGTGGATTGCTCAAGCTCTGAAAGTAGCCGCAGCTGGGTGAGAGATGTAAATGGAATATAAAAGGAAGCATGTGAAACAAGCTGCATTGTGAGGTCATCAGAATTGTGTGATGTCACATAATGTTCCATTCATCGTGACAATATGATCATTTGTTTAATCCCTCAAGGACACATGACATGTGTGACATGTCATGATTCCCTTTTATTCCAGAAGTTTGGTCCTTAAGGGGTTAAAGATCACAAAGGAAAGATCACTGGGAAAGATCAGCTGTTTTACATGGGAAAGGAGCAGGGGAAAGGTGAGATAATACTGAAATCCTATTTATATGTTAATAGATACATGCAATTATTTCAAGTAAGATGTAAGATGACTATACAATAAACATATGACATGTTAAAGAGTAAAATAATTGCTTTTACGTAGATGTAAAGCTTGGTTTAATAATAACTCTTCCCAACAGTCCCATAACTATTTACTTTCATCCTGATTGGTAGAACACCACGGTAGGTTCTCACAGCCCTCAGTGGTGTTTACTAAGTCCAGCACAATGTAGAATAATTTATGAATGTGACAGTTGCCTTTGTAGTTTGTATCCAACTGTTTGAGAACAGAATTCCAGAGCATCACTTAGCACTGCGGTAAATCAATAGGAAAACTAAAGTCTATTGTGAAAAGGGTAGCAGCAGCAGTATTGTCTAAGGGGGGAAAAAGGAATAATTGCTGTTAGATGTAGATGATAGATGCTTAGTGATACAGATATATCTGCTGGGATACCTCATGTTCAGCTGGAGAGACTTGTGCCAGGCAGGGCTGAGAAACAGATAAACAGGGATGCAGAATGCCATTAAAGGACCACTATAGTGCCAGGAAACCATACTCGTTTTCCTGGCACTATAGTGCCCTGAGGGTGCCCCCACCCTCAGAGCCCCCCTCCCGCCGGGCTCTGGGGAGAGGAAAGGGGTAAAAACTTACCTTTTTCCAGCGCCGGGCGGGGAGCTCTCCGATCCTCCTCCATTCCTCCCATTCGGCTGAATGCTCACACACGGCAAGAGCTGCGCGCGCATTCAGCCGGTCGCATAGGAAAGCATTTACAATGCTTTCCTATGGACGCAAGCACCTCTAGCGGCTGTCAATGAGACAGCCGCTAGAGGAATTGGAGGAAGGATTAACTCATTTGTAAACATAGCAGTTTCTCTGAAACTGCTATGTTTATAAAAAAATGGGTTAATCCTAGGTGGACCTGGCACCCAGACCACTTCATTAAGCTGAAGTGGTCTGGGTGCCTAGAGTGGTCCTTTAACTGAAAGTGATCTAGTAGCTTGATGCTCACCTCTGGCTAGGAAACCATGATGGGAGATGTAGTTTCATAATAGCTAACTAGTGCATAGAATTAATTGAGGTACTTTACTATTTAGGTAGAGCCAAACAAGATGTAACATTAAAAAAGATTATTTTTTAAATTGTGGTGGCGGAGCCTAACTGCTGAGCAAGCTGGATGCCTCTTGGACAAGCTCCAGGCATAGGCAACCTTCGGCACTCCAGATGTTTTGGACTACACCTCCCATGATGCTTTGCCAGCATTATGGGTGTAGGAGCATTATGGGGGATGTAGTCCACAACAAATAAATAAATTGATCACAATCGACACAACCCTGACTAGAGCAGTCACAACACTTAGGTGAGCTCCAGCACATATATCCAATGGAGTTCGGCAATATGACTTGGTGCTATTTTAAAGAGTATGAAATGTAATCTCTACATTGTGCCACACAAAGCGCTAGCAAATGTATAGATGAAGAATTACTCAACATTTTAATATCTTCTTGGGCTTTGCTGCTATGCCATTGGCCCAGAGCTCCATGTGATGATATGGCATCCCATAATTACAAGCATGCTCCTACATGCTAGGAACTGTGTGATACTGATTGTGTCATTTGATGACATGATGGGATGGCTACTCTTTCCACTCCAGGAGTCCATGATGAGTGAGGAAACCGAGGACAAAAGGCTTAATATTGTAACCAATACATTTGCTAGAGATTTCACCAGCAAAGTGTATGTATTGAATTTATACCTATCTGAATGTCAACTTGTAACCCAAGCTATTTGTGAATGATAGTTTCACTTTAAGATGTTTATTCTGACTTTTGCACAAATAACCCCACATCTACTAACTTTTCTTCAGCGTTAAAACGGTAAGTTTCATCAGATCTAGAGAGACTGTGCATGCTTACTGGGGGAGCAGAGTTTATTAAATGGAATTTTTTTAAGCAGCTACCAATAACTGTACAACGAGTTAGTACATACTAAGCAGAAGTGATAAACTATAGAAAATGTTTTGTAAAGTTATCAGTTAGCTGTGTCAGCAGAACCAATGTTAATGTTTGAAAATACTGATGACAAACCTTTGTCGCTCTTTCCAATAACAATGGTGTCTTGTTAACGCGCTCTTTCATTGCTCCCAATTCTTCAAAGTACTCTCTTGTCTTTTGAACGTCTTGTTTCCTATTGTACAAATTTACATAACAAGTCAGTTGTTTTACACTAAAGGAAAATGATGCAAAAAGTAACAAAGTTTGAACTGGAAAAAAATGTATTTGAAATAATTAGGCTACTACAAATACATATAACAAAACAAGAGAACAATTGCACTACTTGCAATTAATTCCTTTAGTTTTTCTAAATGAGCACAGATAAAGTCCCAAAATAATAATGATAACCTCTCTCCCCCCACTCCCACACACAAATATCACAGCATCATATTATTAGCTAAATTGCATATCAACCACCACACTTTGCAAAAACCTTTCGGTACCTAGTAAGTGGAGCATATATCTCTTGTTTGGCCAGCTGTGGCGTAATTAGCACAATACTAGCATTTTTGCTTGCCTACAAATGGATGATTTCAAACAGTTACCTCAACTCTTTTAATTTACTACAGGACAACAAGGACATGTTTTGGAGTGGATCAAAAGCTTTAGCTCGGGCTATTATGCGTTTCTTTAGATGTTTCTGTCTTGCTGTCCTTTTTTTCAGGTCTTCTTCCTGTTTTTCTTTGTCCTCGATAGACTTCCTGAGTGAGGATAGAAACCAACTCAAAATCCAGTCAGTTTCCAAAAAGGGATAAGGGAACTTGCATGGGGCCTACTAAGGGAATACTGCCAACTAGAGGAAGACTCAAGCTACATCTACCAGCTAGTAAAACAAGGGTAAGATATATATTTCAGTCATGTCAAAAACAAAGTGTGTATCTGCAGATTCTTGTAGCTCACAAGGGCTGAAAAGCAGGTATTTATCATGATGAATAGATTTATAGATTTTCGAGCCAAAGAACTGCCAATGCCACAAGTTAAATGTTCATTATATTAACATGTTTCATTATTTGTCTGCAGTGTAGAGGGTTATTCATGGTACATAGTTTAATACCAAATACCGTTGTAAATTTTAGGCCATATAAAAGCCATTTATGGTGCAAAGTTGTAAAAGTGATTTGATCAGCGGGAACCTTCCATTGGCGTTTGTGGTTTGTGCTTTGGACACTTTATGACTATATTCCACTTAATTTGCTACGTATTACTCGTGTCTGTAGGCTTTATTCTGTATTTGGATTATCATAAAATAATAAAATCTAATGGTTTGTCTGGCTAGTATGCTCTGCTTCTCTTTTGTCTTAACGTGGTCCAGGTCCCAAATAGTGTAATGATTATGCGCTGTAATTTCTGATTGTGATAGTGAATTTCACTAAATGCACAGTACATTAAGCATCCAGAACTGATCTGAACTTTCACATCTTGTTTGAGTCCATTTCCTGAATTACTTAAACCAAGCAAGCACTCCTATAACCCCATAAGGACATGGCCTCAGTTTGCTTGTTTTGTACTTAGCGACACATGCAAACTTAGCATTTTGCTGTGTGTGTGCAATGTCTATCCTTTTCATTTATTGCACCAACACTTACCGTATATACTCGAGTATAAGTCGACCCGAATATAATTTTACCACAAAAACCTGGGAAAACGTATTGACTCGAGTATAAAACTAGGGTGGGAAATGCAGCAGCTACTGGTAAATTTCTAAATAAAATTAGATCCCCCAAAAATGATATGAATTGAATATTTATTTACAGTGTGTGTATATAATGAATGCAGTGTGTGTGTGTATATAATGCACTGTGTGTTTATGAATGCAGTGTGTTTGTATGAATGCAGTGTGTTTAAATGCAGTTTGTGTGTATGAATGCAGTGTGTGTGTGCGTGTGTGTATGAATGCAGTGCGTGTGTGTGATGCAGAGTGTGTTTGTGTATGTGATGCAGAGCTTTGGTGGGGGGTGGGCATTTGTTATATTTTTTTTAATTAATATTATTATTTTAATATATATGTATTTTTTTATATTATTAATATTTTTTATTTTATTTTAATATAATTTAAACCTTTATTTATTTTCGTCCCCCCTCCCTGCTTGTTAGCTGGCCAGGGGTGGGGGGGCTCTCAATCCCTGGCGGTCCAGTGGTGTGTACTATGCAGGTGGGGGGGTGCTGGCAGCAAGCTGTAACATACCTTTCCTGCAGCTCCTGTCAGCTCCCTTCTCCTCCGTCCCTTCAACCAGTGGCAACGCTCTGACCCCGCGGCTCTCGCGAGACTTACAGTGGGAGCTGACCGGACCAGAGGAGAAGGGAGCTGACAGGAGCTGCAGGAAAGGTAAGTTACAGCTCTCTGCCAGCCCCCACCAGGACCGCCGGGCTTGTAATGAGCCTGGCGGTCCTGGTCTGTATTATGGCAATGTAAGTTGCCATAATACAGACACTGACTCGAGTGTAAGACAAGTGGGGGCTTTTCAGGATAAAAAATGTGCCGAAAAACTTGTCTTATACTAGAGTATATACGGTATTATATGTATACTGTTTTTTCAAATGCCTCTGATTTCATTTTATTTTGTTAATTATAAGTCACAAAATATAAGGAGCATAATACAGTTTCAATGTGTAACTGTGTTAAAATTTGGTATGTTTGTCTTCTAAATTTAATAGTATCACAGAAAACAAACGTACCACTCAAAAGTATATATATTTATATTAAGTAGACATAACAGGGTATTTACCTAAGGGTATAGACACTTTTTACATTGTAGCAAAATTGCGGGGGTTTTTTTGTTTTGATATTTTACATACACACATAAAAGGTTTTTAATTGTATATTTCGTAAACCTGATTAGTAAAGTGAATACAGGGCTATGTTGTCAACCCATTAAGGTTGACATCATAAATCTAATACTAACTATAATGCTAACCCTTACTGTAACACTAACCCTAAATATTAACTCTGACCCACTAATACTAACTAATCCGAGCAAACACTAATCCTAATCCTTAACCCTGTTACCCACAATCCTACCCTAACTGTAACCCTAAACCACTAACTAACCCTAACACACCCTTACCCTAACAAATCTTAGCATCATAACTAACACTACTCTAATTCGAATTTAAATGAATATTTAAACCCAGAGGCTCAGACACAAATTTTTAAACCCAGAAGTTCAGACACGGAAATGAAAAGTGCTGTGAGCAGCACTCACTTTGAGTGCAGCTTACAACTCATCAGTCAGTATAAGACCTCTAATTCTGGCCCCAGCTGGCAGTGGACAGGCCCAAGTAGTGAATTATACCTTGGTTTTTCCAACAGCCAGCAGGGAAATGGTCCCTGCTGATAAAATGGTGCATAATGGAATTATTCTGCCATGGATCCAATTCTGTCATGGGTCCTTAAAGAGTTAACCCTCTAAATAAAATGGATGTGAAGATGGAGAGCTCTAACGTTACAGAATAAAATAATGCTGCAAAAAGCAATATGAGTTTGAGTTGAGATGCACTCCTGGAATCTCCTATGATCCCTTCAGACCCTCCACGTTCCATCATACAGGGGAAAATCGCAGCCCCCCATGGACAGAAAAAATCAAAACAATGGTGGACAAATCAAAAAGGTGCACTGAAGAATGGTTGATTGATTGGTAAATCACCATTTGTCAGTAGACCTTTGTGAGTTGCCCACCAAGCTGCAATCAGAGACAAAGCTTGCAGGTGTTTTTTGTTGTCCTCCTGGTCTAGAGTGTCTTGAGAGTATAAATAAAAAGTTTTTATAAACTGAGGACTACTACTGTAATTGACATAGACATTCTTGCATGCATTTACATTCAGAAATTTCAGAGTTAACATTTAGTTCATATTTTATTAATTACTCATGTTTGTTTACATGATTGCTTGTTGCCTTCTTCTGGAAGATTCTGTTGATTTTGGAGTTGAAGATGGAGGCCCTCCCCGGGGTGATATGTCATCCCATGCATCTCTTGGTGAAGGCTTTCTTGGGGATTTATATGGCCAGCGTGTTTCCTTTAAGTATTCTTCATCTGCTTCAATATCTTTGAGAATCTTGTCTGTATGAGATATGTGATCTGTACGAAGGCGAAAAGGTTCGCAGACTGTAACATGCTTTGAATGTTTGCTTTTTAATAAGCGTTTATGGTTCTTATGGTGAAGAACTTCAAAGTTGGGTACAAAGGAATTGATTTTTGGTTTGTGTTCAATTTCCTCTTTTGGTTCTAAGCATCTTGACTTCTTTCTTCCTGATCTACTGCTCCCAGCTAGTGTACTAGTTGGGTAAGCAGAACTATATAAGAGTTCTTGTGCTCTCATGTGTATCCTGATACCCCGATATAACTCATCTTCTTTAAGCCTCTCCTTAGCAGACTCTCCATAAATAGACTTTGGAACTGGCTTTGCTTTAAAAAGTTTGGCTTTGTGTTCTGGATTTGGAAGTCTAGAGAGGTGAAGTTTCTGAACTGCTTTTTTGTGTTTTTCTCTCTCAATAAACTGGAATGGCTTCTGAGATGCCAAGAGGATTTCTTTGCTTTTTTCTTTAACAAATTTGCGCCTTTCCTCATTCCTTTCAACTATTTCATGGTACAGTGGAAGATAGACAGATGCTGGAACTGGATTGGCTCGAAACTTCTTCTGACATTCAGCCTCCTCTTCTAATGCCTTTTTCAACATGTTGTTTTCCAGTTCAATTTCTGACTTTGATTTTATATTCATCTCTTTTTTCTTTGATTCCCTTACTGTCATCTGGAACGGTTCAGGAATGGTCAGTTTATGTGACCACGCTTTCTTTTTTTTAGTCTGCCTTTGGGACTTACGATGATCGGGACACAACATATTTTGAATATAATCCTCAATTGTAAATCCATTCCACATTTGAGCTATTTTACTTCTGGCAGGTACTGATTCCTCTGAACCACTGCAAGTTTCTCCATCAGTCAATTCATCAGCTGAGCTGTCTAATAACTGTGAAGAAACACTGCAATTGAAATCGTGCTTTAGGAAGCACTCTTCACATAGAGTTGGCTGCAAACATCCTTCTTCCCACAGTGGCCTGAACATTAAAAAAGATGATACATATCATTATTAACTGACCAAGTTGCCAAATATTACAAAGAAAAAAGACAAAAATACCAGGTAGAAAATCAGCACAAATTCCCTTGAGGATAACTACTTTGTCAACCATACTTAAGCTACAGGAATTTTAAATCATACAAAAAAAAACTAAAAGAAATGTATTTGTGTTTTCACTCTATCTCTATGAGTTATTGGCAATTCTTACATAATTCTAAGGTCCTCATAAAAGTAACCTATTTTCTTCCCAATAAGAACTACTGTGTGGCGAAAGGTGACACATGCTTCCTGAGGGTTAGAGTGAAGAAGCATGGCATTATCACTGCCACTTTACTTTTGCCACCATTCCAAACTGATATCTGCTCTCTGCAGTATGTATTGTAGAGGATATAGACAAATTTTTGTTTAACATTCAAGATCAGTAACTAGTATTATTAATTTCTGTTCCTTTGTCTATGACACATATTTGAAATTGTACAAGTTACAGATATATATATGTGACTGTTATATGTGTCTAGATGATACATTTACTGGGATTCATTGTTAGAGGCACGAATCTTATATTAATTATAGAACATACTTCCCACAAACCCATATTTGGGCCTCAACATGTGCAGTGATTAGATGAAATGTTTGCACAAGGTGAACTCAGTGCATTCAACATACAGAGCAAGCATGTGTAGGGCTTTGTGGAAAAGAGGCACATTAGACTAATTGCCCCTTTTGGGTGACCTGCCCCCTTTTCCCAGAGATCCTGGGTCTGGTATTATCACCATGTTCTCCTACTGATCCTACCCACAGTCAATGTTGGGAGGCATGAAAACACACAAACCAAACATGGTATCAGAGTACTAAATATTTTGATTTTGTCACAGGAAGATAACCTAACACTCATTGTCTAGCAGACTAGATGGAACAGACGTATTACTGGATCTGAGAGTGGCCCAGATTAATGCAAATAACAGAGAAATTGTAGTAGAATACAAGTCAAGGTCAGAATAACAGAGAGACAGAATAATCGAATAATTAGCCGGAGTCAGGAAAACAGAATAACAGAAGGATGTATAAATATGTGTCAGATGTGTTGATATGGGATCTCTGTGCTGACTGGGTGTAACGGAACCGCTGGCAACACATAATAATACAGTCAGAAACTCCCAGTTAGGACACACATATCCTCCCCTCTGCCTTCCAAACCATACATGCAATTCTCATAAAAGTTACATATTCTGATCAGCATACTCCATATACAAACATATGTCAAAATCATACCATTCCCTCCAGTGGTTTAAAAGTTAGGTGGCAATCCTATTTGACTGACTGCAAGCATGGCTTTTCTGCCCAAAACAGTTCAACAGATTTAGGCTGTGCAGTCGGTCAATTTTCTCCTCTATCCTGGAGATAATTGGCTTAAGTAACTGTAGTAAACTCAATTATCTCCAGGTACAGAAAATATTACTAAGTCAGAACTGCAACAAAACACATTAAAATACATAACTAAAATTCTATAGAACTGAACCCCCAGTTCATTGTAGCCGAACAGCGCTCAGATCCCACGAACACAGTCAAATCACCATGTGGTTAAAGTTTAGCAAGGGCTGATGAGAGACCGAGGAGGGACAAAGCATCCAGTTCCAACTAGTCTGGCAGTGTCCCTGGGACAAAGCCCTGCTGGAGAACAATGGGGCAGGAAACGGGGGAGGGAAAGAGGCACACCTTCCCATGGATTCAAAGGGGCAGAAAAAGTGTCCCAAAAACCAATAAGCCCAAACAGACTTTTTAAATGGCAATACTTCCCAGGGGCCATAGTCACAAGGCAAGAGACTGGCAAGCAGGCTTCTCCAAAAGCCAGGGGCAAAGGGCAGTTGGTCACATAAAAACCCAGTGACAAAAGGCAGTTTGTCACACTGGGTAAGTAACACTACATATTTAAATTAGGGTTTTACATCTGTTAAAAAAAATTTTTTTAACGATATTAAGTCAAAATGTAAAACTTTTACAAATATTTTTTGAGATTTGACATTTGCGGTATGAGTAAAAACCAATTCCTTATTCAAAGAGGTCACTGCGCTAGACTGACATCCTATGCCAGTTATTCGTGGAAGTTTTTGACAGGGACAAAAATTACTTACATGGTTTGGCAACCTATTCTTAAAAGAACAGTACAAGTGGCCAGGGTCAATGAGGACATCCAGCTTCTACTGCAAGAGAAGACCACACCAAGGCTGTGTGCCTGAGGGACCCATATTGTCAAATCATTTTAAAACGATTTGAAAAATTACTCTGGGAGGCACCATTGCACTCCTGGTACCATAACCACTACAATGCTGTAGTGGTTATAATGCTTGGAGAGTTCATTTGAATTTCAAAAACTTCAGTGACCCTTTTCTCAGTTTTAACAGTATCCATTACCAGGATAGGTCGTCACCCAGGAAGCAGGATAGTCACACATGACAAGCAAAAACAGACTAGTATTACTGGACCTTAGAGTGGCTGGGCTTACATACCAAAGACAGAAAATAAGCAATGCCAAGATACAAGACAAGTGTCAAGAATTGAGAAAAAAAAAACGAGCCAGGGATACAGAAATCAGAATAGTTGAGACAGGCAGGTTTCAATAAACCAGGAATCAAACAATAAAGAAATGCGATCTTAGATGACCATAATGGAACCACAACAGGGCACTGAAAGCTCAAGCATTTGAAGGCCTGGGCGTGTCATTGATAGTTACACCCTCAAAATATAAGTAAATGTTTACAATGACAAGATTTTATACCGATGACATCATGAAGAGGGTGTGACTTCATTATATCATAAAATTGGTGGATCTACAGTGTCTAGCACCAGAAACACTGTCAAAGGTGTCTGAGGGAAACTGATGTGGTGCCTACTTGAGGAGCTAAGGACATCACATGAGTGGTGTAGTGTAAGGGATGTATCCTTACATATAGACAACAAACATGACAAAACAACATTATTGGATATGTTTCATAGTCAAAAGGGTCTGCAATACACATGGAAAGGCAGGACTGATATAATAACTAAATCATTTGTCTGGATGTAATAAATATGAAGTGTCTGTTCCAACTGCTGTTATCCACAGGGTTTAGGGACTTAGATTTGGATCCTGATACAGGAAATGAGAACCAGTGTCAGGAACAGTGCAAAAACATAGCTGCTTACCTCCATTCTTTTCTGGCAACTTCCTGGTCAGGCTCAGTACTCTGAACTCCTTTTAGGTTTAATTTCTGTTCATACATTCGTTCAAGTTGCTCCATGCTCTGCAGATGAGCAGTTTTCAGTCTCTCCAGCTGCGTATAATAGGCTTGGTCTGAATTTTGTAGTTTGGTAATGTCTATGTACCAGTCTCTATTTTGCCAAGTTTTGGAATCCTCATCCTTTTCCATGTCAGAATCAAGGTCATCATCCTACTCCAAGGAAAATCCAGGTTAATTTGAATGTGCATTTAAATTGTGATCACAATAACAGCATTCAAGATTCTTTTATAATAGCTTTAAAAGGGGCACAGTACCATAGCTCCTGCATTTTACTAAAGTAGTCATACGATTCACTTCCAGAAGCTGTCCAACCATGGATGGCAATGACAGGCTGTGAACATATGGCTATACCAGCCCTAAAGCTTGTAACTTAAAAGCTATTCATGGTTGAGTGGCTTTGTACAGATGTATCCTGCCTAAGCCCCACGTTAAGGATAGAGCAAGAAAGGCTAATGCCAGTCATGGAATATGGGGATGTAGAGTTTGCACCTGCGCCGCAAACCCACCTTCATAAATGTAACTCATTTTGCCGCTTTGTGCTACAATATAATTACATGACCCAACATTGTGATATGGTAAAAGAGCTATACCGGCTATCTTTCCAGACTTGTGTTTAAAGGGATCCTATAGTGCCAGGAAAACAAACCCGTGTGATACAAAAGTGAATACAGAAAAAAAAAAAAAAAATTTGAGATATCTTTAATAGAGGTCTAAGAGTTTTGCCTTGACGTGGCAGGTGGGCATTTCCCTCTAATGGCCATTGGAGTAACTAAATAACCTCCATTTGTTTAAATATGCATAGGGATTTGGGAGAGAGCGCAGGTAACTTTTTCTTTGGTAACTGAATGTATTGGAGCTAATGTGTACTATGGTTGTTGTTGTTGTTGTTATATTATATATATATATATATATATATATATATATATATATATAAATATATATATATATATATATATATATATAAAAACTTGGGCAGAAAGAAGTATATCCCCTAAGAAGACTACATTGAAGAACTCCCACGGAGAAGCCCATTAATAATCTTTAAACAAATCCATTCACTCTGACATGAAGATCTGCTGAGAGGGTATACCACCTCCTGATACTCCTAGGATACAGTGCAAGAGAAAGGTGAGGTATCATTGCTACAAACCCCTTTCCACAAGACACAAAGGAGGCCATCATCCTGCACCCAAAAGGAGGGTTGCTAAAAGGAGTATTTCTATATTTGTATCTGTCTGTCTGTCTTTTTGGGACTGTACATGTCTGACAGTGTATGTCTGTATGTGTGTGTGTGTGTGTGCATATGTATGAGTGTGTGCAGGCACATGATAGTTGTATCCTTGTGTCTCACAGTAACTGCCTTGTTTATGTCACTAATTTCGCAAAGATCAATAAATTCCCTCCAGCAGTGCAGCAATATGTAATTCAATTTCCATAGTTTAGTACAGTATACCAAATTCTTCTGTTTTTATGTAATCTTTTCAATGTACACATCAGTGCAGCCAGCTAGTTTAATTAAGAATCACATTATTAAGATGGATTGGAGAACAGATGGGCCTGATTTTGTAGATCACACAGTAGCAGATGGTAAGAGCTAACGTTCACCGCCATTAAGCTCTTTGAAAGACTGCTAGAGTTTACAGGTTACACTAAATTGTCAGCAAAACATACTGCCAGTCTGACACAGGGGATTCAACAAGCAGCAGGCTTGGCTACATGTGTCGTGCACTCAGACTAGTTCTCAATGTTACGTTAAACTTAAAGGACCACTATAGTGCCAGGAAAACATACTCGTTTTCCTGGCACTATAGTGCCCTGAGGGTACCCCCACCCTCAGGGTCCCCTCCCGCCGGGCTCTGGGGAAAGGAAAGGGGTTAAAACTTACCTTTCTCCAGCGCCGGGCGGAGGGCCCTCCTCCTCCGATCCTCCTCCTCTCCTCCCATGCGGCTGAATGTGCACGCGCGGCAAGAGCTGTCATAATGATTTCCTATGGACGCTTGCGTGTTCTCACTGTGATTTTCACAGTGAGAATCACGCAAACGCCTCTAGCGGCTGTCAATGAGACAACCACTAGAGGCTTTGAGGGCTGGATTAACCCATTTATAAAAATAGCAGTTTCTCTGAAACTGCTATGTTTATAAAAAAATGGGTTAATCCTAGAGGGACTTGGCACCCAGACCACTTCATTAAGCTGAAGTGGTCTGGGTGCCTAGAGTGGTCCTTTAATAGTTTGTTATCAGTGCTAAGACACCAAGATACCCAGTTTGTAAACAGTGCTAAGACACTGTGCAACAAATATAGTTTTGTTGTTACATATCTGAAAAGAGACTTGCGTCCATCAATTTCAGCCTTCCTTACATGTTTCCCATTGTGGGCCTGTTAGTGTGCAGCCCGCGGCTTGTTCCCAGCGGGACATATATCATATTTAAAACAATTTTAATAGAAAACACAGTTTGCCAAGTTAGTTTTGATTTTTTTTTACCACCTAAACGACTAGTTATTTTTGTTTCAATGTAAGATAAAAAGATGCTTAAAAGATGCTCTTATGTCAAGCCAAAACCCTGAAAACATTGCATGGTTGCAAAAAGGATGTGTCCTCAACTCAGAGTGACTTCGAACTGCAGTGATATCTCAAACTGCTGATCCTCGTGCAGTACTTCTGATGAACTCCCTTCCCCTCCTTGGAGAGAGCCAAGCAGTGAAGAGTATATAGCTTCTATCAATTTTTAGGGACAGATCTAAAATGGACAGGCCAAACAAGAGAATCGTAAATATATGTAGTTTTTATTTTTTTATATTTTTTATGCATTTTTATATAATGCATGAAAAATAGGGGGTACTTTTTATTCCATAATCCCATAATTCCCATTAATATTTACAACCTTATAGTAGCCTGATTTATCCTGCATTTTTGCCATAGGCTTGTGCAAGTGGTTGCCAGATGTGCTCAAGCACACTCTAATGCAGGATTAAATTATCCTTTACGTCCCCTGTTTAAATATCTATAGGCAATTTTGCATTAGTTTGACTTAGCTATTTTATGATTTTGAGGGTAAAAATCATGACTGTTTCTATATATATACAGTTATCACTTGAGCAACATAGAATGTGACAGCAGATAAGAACCATTCGGCCCATCTAGTCTGCCCAATTTTCTAAATACTTTCATTAGTCCCTGGCCTTATCTTATAGTTAGGATAGCCTTATGCCTATCCCACGCATGCTTAAACTCCTTTACTGTGTTAACCTCTACCACTTCAGCTGGAAGGCTATTCCATGCATCCACTACCCTCTCAGTAAAGTAATACTTCCTGATATTATTTTTAAACCGTTGCCCCCCTAATTTAAGACTATGTCCTCATGTTGGAATATGTGTGTGTGTGTATATATATATATATATATATATATATATATTTTTTTTTTTAACTTAAAATTGCTGTTATATATACCGCCATAATTTGTATGTTAGACTAGACAGTACTGCACAGATACATTACACCATAAATGTTACCATATATTTTATGGTTATTTCTCTATATTATCGTTTAATTTGGTTTGCTAGAGAGATCATATATAACATGGTCACTCTAGAAGTAAGCTCCTTTGTGCATTATTCCTTATAAAAAACTAATATCACAAAACACAACTTGCTATTCTGAATTACAAATGGTCTCCTCTACAAAAAATTATAATAATAAACTGATACCAGCACCACCTCCTTACTGTTGTTTTTCCTTTGTTGTTAACAGAGGAAAGATCAGGACTTACAGGATAACTTTTAAATTATTTAAATTATTAATAAATATAAACTTGACTATTTGCAGGCATTTAAAGTGAAAGCCGAGCCTTTTATTATAATTATATTATTAGTATATTTATTATATTATTATTAAGTGATGATGGTACTGTATAATCAGCCATTACCTCTTGCTCCCTCTCTGCCCCCCGCCTGTTATCAGGGGTTTCCGGGTCTCTGTACCCCCTCCTCCTCTCCTCCCTCTCATACAGAGTGATGGGGGTCCGGGTGTGCGGGTGTACCGGGGTCTGGATGCAGGCTGTGGTCAGCATTGATTCCCGGTGGGTCTTCGCCATCTTGGCAGAGAGAGAGATCTCTAACGCCTGGCTCCTCGCTGCCTAGCAACCAGGGACGCTACGGGAGCCGCGAGCGGACAGTAAAGCTAGAGACAGGAAAAACGACAAGCGGCCAGGCACAGGTTACCAGGTTACTGCATGAGCACAAAAGAAATCCCTGGATAATGCCATATGTCATGCAGGGCAGGATTTAGTGTCTCAGATTATACAGGTAACAGAAGGTTTACTAAAGACTATAATGAAAGAAGGATTAAGGCAGCACATTTTTTTTATTTATTTATTTATTTATTTTTAGAAGTCTTAATTTTTATTCTTTTTTAAATAAAATAAAGAAGAGAGGGGAACAAAGTTCCAGGCTAGCACTGCCTACCCTTTCCATAATGCTCAAGAAATTCTGATTGAGTTTTAGGGTTGGGAAACTTTATCAAAATGGTTTAGACACATTGGGGTCATGTCTAAAAAGTGTTGGGTATCTATTTATGCCTCTCCCCCATTTGTCACACCAACATTTTCCATTTTACATTTACGAACACTTTCATCTTGCTCCTTTGTCATTTTTATTTTTTGACAATTTATGGCACTGCCCATGTATAAAAAGGAGACACAATCACGTGTCAAAAAAAAAAAAAATAGAAAAATAACTGGCTCAGTCAGAAATGTTATGGCACAAACTGAAAAGAAAAAAAAATATATATACATAACCTAAATTTGTTGGATCCAGGTTCTCTTGGGACGGCTACACAGAAAGAGAAAGGTAATGGCATGAACTAAAGCTGGAATAGAAACACACACTACTTTTAAACCAGGACAGCAAATGCCATCTGCTTTAAGACTCCATAAAAAAAGAGCAGGGACTACACGGACTGACCTTTGCTTACATGGTTCAGTCCATTCTTTAGATATAGACAATGCGAAAATTGTTTTGCTTTGTAACGGAGGACCGCTTGCTAGCTGGAACAGGGGACAAACCGCATCTCTTCTGCCCACAGTCACTGTGGCTTGACTGGGGACCTGGAGCTGAATGAAGAATTCGCTCTAGACTACCCCAGACACTGGACGACACTCAGTGCTGGGAGCTCCAGTCCTTACAAGGACTTTCCCCGATGAATCCTCCACACTGAAACAGTGATTTAAGAATAGCCCTTTCCCCTAAACACGTGCAATTTGGTTCGGTCCAAATAGAATTTCGGACTTCTGAAAAGTGGCAAAATGGGTAGGGTTAGGAGTAGGGTTAAGGTAGGTTTGGGAGTAAGGTAAGGGTACCTCTACCCCTAACCCTACACTTACCCGAAGTGCCGAACCCCTGAATTTCAGAATGCAATTTCCGAAGTGCCGAACTGAATTTCAGAATAAAATTGCCGAACCGAATTGGCGATGTCACGAATTTCAGAATGCCAAACCGAACCAAATTTTTTGCCTGTCCCTACTTTCCCTCTCCCAGTAACCAGACGGCACAGTTCTGGGAGTACAAGCTAAATACTTTCAATGGCAGCCACAACTGGCCTTATATGCAGGTCCCCATGCAAGAGGCACTGCCCTCTGGACCGGAGAGTAGACTACAGTAAACACACATATGATTACATTGGCTCTCGGGTCCAAGACACTCCCATACAAAACAAGACAATCTATCCCCTGTGCCTGGAGTGCAGCACTGTACAAAACTCAATTATCTACAGGCATAAAAAAAAAAAATTTTTCCCAAACACCCACAAAAGAACCTTACAAATACATAAAGCCCCACAAATGTTACATTCTCTGATAGCCATGATCTGGGTGACCAACATATCCAAAAATCACCTAGATCAGTTCAGAGGTTCAGGAATTTCCTGGAAGTCATAATTTGACCGACCGACCGCATGGTCCCATGCCCAAAACAGTTTCAGAGAATCAGGGCTTGCGGTCGGTCTAGTTCGGTAGTTTAAAAATTAACAAACTACTGAACATAGTCAATAGTCTTACCCTGGAGCTTGATCCCCTTGTTCGTGTGAACGTTTCCACCGAACAGTGTCTTCCTAGGTGTTATAAAATCGAACGCAGTCATTGAAGTCCAGCGGAGTTCGGGAGTTTCAGTGTCCAAAAATAATTCCATGAACTCGACCACCAAACACAGCTGCCTGTGTTCATGCAAACAAGATGGCCGCCACTTAGTGGTCGCCTATAGGAAATGCGGCCACCCACACGAACATTTAGAACACTGCGGTGGAAATTGCAACAAAGTATTAATTAGGCTTAACAAGCTCCAGGGTGGTTTCCGGGTCGGGCGGCTGTTCAGTTCCCGGACCATATAGTCCAAATACACGAACGGAGACTTTTACATTACACTTTAAAAGATCCATGGGCAGGAGGCTGGCAAGCAGGCTCCTCCAGGAACTCGTGGCAAACTCACTTAAAAAGGGGGGTTTATCACAGGCTCTTACAAGAAAGGTTCACTCCTGATACAATAGCCTCCACACAAAACTATACTGGTTATGGTGCTTAGACTGTCCCTTTAAGCAGGGCAGGTGGGTGTTACCATTGATTTCTAAGAATGCAAAACCTGATCACACCGTTAAGCTGCAAAATAGTAAATTTCAAAAGGATAATAAGCACAATAACCAATATTATTTATAAAGCATCAACATGAGCTTACATGCTAGGTGGCCAGGACTTCCCTGGCAGCATCCTATGGTAGGATGTCAAACCATTAGACAACTTACCTGGGTTATGTACTGCAATCCGTCTCCTCCAGTTGGAAATCACTACAGAGCAAAGCATGACCGAGATCATTGGCGGAGAAAACTCTGTGATGCACTTACAATTATTGTAATCATATAGCAGTGAAAAGTGTGATACTAGTACCAATACGCTTATCAAATGCTCCATATAAAAATGATTGTGACAAAATGGGAGGGGCGGGGTGGATATATATTTCCTGTTTAGTTTTAAACAGTTTCTGCTGAAAGAGAACACCAGATGCAACGGGCAATTTTTCAGATGAAGCTATAGACCTCAAGCAGGCTGTAGTTATGGTGTTTGGAGCATTCCTCAAAGATCTATGCAGTTGGCACGGTGGCAGGAGTAACTTACTTTAATTAAACACTCCAGCTTACTTGATTATGGGGCTTGGAATGCCCTGCTACCCCATCATACAACATAGTAAGGAATCTAACCATTTTTTTGCTGCTATTTTACTTCTTACCTGGGGTCTGCAGGCTGCCACTCCCCATAACCACGGCAGGGAAAAGAAAAAAAAATGAAGTGGTACCAGGGCGCACATGGCATGATAGCCACTGCTGCAAGCGGTAGTGGTTAAGGTGCTTTGAGAATTCCTTTAAGGGGTTACAGTTTCTGAAGTTTAACTCCAAACTTGATCCCCCAACACCTGACAGGTCTGCCTCACGTGTCATTGTTCCAGCCGTCACATACCCACTGGCCACCCATAGCCATGTAATTACTAGCTTAAATTTAATAGTCTTAGCATGGTGCACATTTTACACCTCCCTTGTACCTGTCCACTAACTGCAGAGAAAGCAGTTTGCTTTTTCCCAGTGCTCATGCCATCCTCTAACTGGTTCTATGGTGGCCAGAGTACAGTATATTGTTTCTTCTCTCTCTCTCTAGCCTGAATGCCTGTTGCATTACTTTTTATTTTTAAACTTGGCAGAAAGATGGAGACGCTTAGTTCCTGAATAGAGGGGAATACAGGTGTGAATGTTTAGATTTTATTTTACTGTTTAGACCTCAAGTATATTTGTTAAATACAGAATAAAAAAAAAATATATATATCCTGAGAAGTGTTAAGTCCCCCTTTACAGCAAAACTCTTGGCAACAAATGTTAGTGTTCATGTTTTTGTTTGCATTCCTTTTACATACATGGTGTTTGAAGACAAATGCAAAAAAAAAAAAAAAAACTATCGGAGCCAAAACTTTGTTCACAGAGGAAGTGGGGACACGCCTACCAAAAACGCATATAGCTGTAGGTTTCCTTTAAACACTTAGTAGAACTCAAGCCAAAGAAAAGCACAGGCGCAATAATACTATAAGCAGCTATGTTATTCATTTACAGGGGAAAATAGAACTAGGGCAGCCCCTGCAGGTGGCTTAAGCAAGAATAAATAAATACAACTGCTAAGTTACTTTATTTGGGAAAGCTAGATCAATTACAATTTGTACACTCATCCCCAAGATAAACACAGGACGGGAGACACAAAGGGAAAGCAAAGACAACAAAGGAGGCAATAATCAGGCAAAAATTTTATTAAATTAAGTGCTGACAATTATATAAACATTAACAGCCAGCAAAGACATGAACAGAATGACACGGCTCATAAATTCAAATATCAGAATGCCATTTAGCCACAGCTTATCGCGTGTTTACCTGTAGAAAGAAAAAGAAGTGTTATTTTTTTTCTCCTTTACAACAATTCCACATACATTTTTACAACGTGCAGTGAGAGTAATTCCCCTCACAGACTTGTATTAAAACGGACATCAAATAACATACCCAGAACTGTTTATCATGAGGTTAGGATGCAAGTCTATGGGTACTGTCCTACAGGTTTTGACAAGCTATTTTCAGGTATTTGATCAAAATAAGATTCTCTGACACCCATGGCCATACCCCTATGCATCAGATGTCAACATTTAAGCAAATTTATGTGCTTGTGCCAAGCAATCACAGGATGCAAGAACTGATCTACAGCAGAATCCATCCTAACCAAATCACAGCATAAGCTTTTGTGCCATAGCATCGCCTTTGCCTACAAATGTAAATGGTAATTCTGCATCACAGAAAAAAAAATTAAGTGTAGTTGAAACTTGCTATAGCCCACCAGACACAGCCTATTGCTTCATCCTGTCCCAGTAGATGAGGAAGTGAAATTCCTCCGTGGAAAAGGGGGTTAGGCTTTCTTTTTTGCCAGTAAATACTTTTTATCATAAAGCTTGACTATTGTTTCAGTCAGTTAGGAGTTACAATTTTAATAGTGTGTCAATCCAGTTAGCAGTTACAATTTTACAAATTCCAGGAAGTGTTCCATTGGTTTTTCATTTTATTAACTTGCAAAATATAAATTTATACCCAATATATGAACCATTTTAACCCCTTAAGGACCAAACTTCTGGAATAAAAGGGAATCATGACATGTCACACATGTCATGTGTCCTTAAGGAGTTAAACACATTAGGGGAGATTATAATAAATCTAAAATATTCTGTTCGATAAAGTGATTTGATACAGTCCTCCATTCTAATTGAAGCAGTTATGAATTGCCCCCCTGCAATATTTTCAAAAATTCAGAATGGATAGTAAGGAGATATGTTGTATGTAGGACACTGGATGGAAGGAATACGAATTAGAGCCCCCATTTAAACTGGTTCTGGGAATTGCAAATCATTCAGCACAGAGAGTAAAACAAATTAAATACTGACCACATCATCTATTTTCAGAATACTGCGCACAGTCTCTGTAGCCAAGGTCAGGCTGCTGATAGACACCAACAGGGGCTGAACAACAAGCTCATCCAAAATGTTAGAAATTCCACCCTAAAGTGAGAAAAGAAAGTTATTCAATTACTTTTATTAAACTTGATGTAGAATTTTATACATATTTTCCAAATTCCTTGAACCGAAAATGTTGAACAATTATTTAAAGAAACCCTCTCTAAGCAACATAAACACTACCCAGTCACCGCAACGGTCAGGATACCAAGCCACAGATTTTCAAAGAATTGTAAGACATGCAATGGTTAACCTCCAAACATTTTTACTGACCACTACCTTAAAAAAAAAACAAAAAAAAAAAAACCACAAACCATTCAGCACATATCAGTAAGAAGCAGATGAAGTTACCTTTCTGATGTTAATACCAGCAGTTTTCTCCCCCTGCGCATGCCTGTTCCGCAGTTCTGTTACAGTTGATATTGGGTTAAGGCCTGCATTTTCAGCCAACGTTGATGGAATAACTTCCATGGCATCTGCAAAGGCCCGAATGCAGTAGGCCTCCATGCCACTTAGTGTACGAGAATATTCGTTCAAACGCAAGGCTAATTCAATCTCAGGGGCTCCTCCTCCAGCAATTAACGCTCTAAAACAAGAGTGAACAAGTCATCATCATGGGCAACACTAAACTATCTAATTTTTATTTTATTTTTCATTCTTGACCCACAGATTGTCAGTGACTCACAGGTATAATTGTAGTCTTATTTCAGGTCCAATTTTTAATTGAGGATAGGCATGCTATTTATAAACCAATTTGTCATATATAGCAGTCAGTTGACACTATCAGCCAATCACAATACTTCCTCATTAGGCACAGAAGCTGCTGGAACTTTTGTTTAGCACTAAAACAAAATGCATAATCATAACAGCTTACAGGAATTTAAGTATGTCCATTGCAAAGTTTAACAAATACGGTTACAAAGTATTTAAAACTCACACCTTAGACACTTCAATTCGGTTACAAAAATCAACCGTTACCATTGAGTTTATAGGGTTGGATTTTCTTCCAAACACTTCATTCACTACATTACTTCTACATCAGAATAATTCAAACATTATGGAGATAGGCACACCCAGTGGGTTCAGCATAGGAACTGAGCCTCTGATTCCAAAACTTGTTCATGAAATCTACATCCAAGTATCAAATATCGTGTGGAACCTAAAAAATACACTCGTTCAAACCATTCACCATTTTTATACCTTCTGTACAATTGTAACGATATAAATAGTGATGTCCCTAACGGTTCGCCACGGACTCATCATTGAGTAAACTTTGACCCTGTACCTCAGTCAGCAGACACATTCCAGCCAATCAGCAGCAGACCCTCCCTCCCACCTCCTGGACAGCATCCATTTTACATTCATTGTGAAGCTGCATGCTTAGTGAGCTGTCCAGGAGGTGGGAGGGAGGGTCTGCTGCTGATTGGCTGGAATGTGTCTGCTGACTGTGAGGTACAGGGTCAAAGTTTACTCAATGATGAGTCCACGGCGAACCGTTCGCGAACCGTTCGGGACATCACTAGATATAAACAATTGCATTTTTTTTTTTTTTTTAAACAATTCTAGGTTTTCTGGCTTCCTCTTCCCCTATCCCTTGTACTCTCCAACCTTTACTGCCAGGAGTAGTAAGGGGTCAAGGAAGGCTAGAAGTAGTTCACTTTAAATTATGCAAGTATATAAACCAATATACCTTTTCTTTACCAAGCAGCGTATCACACAAAGTGCATCATGGATGGATCTCTCAGCTTCTTCGATAACCAATTTGTTGGATCCACGAACGACAATAGTAACAGTTTTCCCTGGGTTTGCACAACCAGTTATCTATAATGGAAAAAATTTGACCGTGAACTAGGTATCTTTAGAACAAGTAAAGGTTATTTTTTTCACTTTATCAATTTTGTAAAAATAAATAAAATAATTTTTCCTGAACGCTTACTTGGAAATAAACAGCTTTCCTTTAGTATTAAAAAAGACATAACAGGTAACACCAAGAGTACGAACGCAACCAAACCGGCACACTTATGAAGCCACATTTGCAGTTTTACCATTTAATGCACAATTCAATACTTTAAAATGCTATACGCTCTACAGTAAACTTTAACAGAAATGTACTCACCTTTACCAGTTTGCCAGAACCATTCAAACTCACTTCCTCTGCTAGCTCAGCAGTCGCCAACATATCTGCTGTGAATTGGTCTATATGCGCAACTGGCTTAGTTCCTATGGTCTAGGGAAAGAAAAAAGTAAAAAAAAAAAACCAAAAAAAACCAACCATAACTCATTAAGAAAATATGCAAGACAATAATGTGTTACCAAAACAAAGTGTCATTTTTATATATGTACTTTGTGTTCAAATGCAGAAGGGAGGAAATTTTTTTTTTTTTTTTTACATTACATTATTTGTCAGAGCTTGGAGTTACAAAAATGCTTGTGTTGGCACAACAGCAGGCACATGCTTACTCCTCATACTTTGCAGATTACACATTGTCACGACAGTATGAACAGCTCTGTTTTAGGTAGAAGAAACAGTAATGCTAGAGAGACCATGGGCACTATCAACAGGAAAATAATAAAAATAATAAACCAGTGAAACCAAGACCCTGTCGCTTGAAAAAAAAAAAAAAAAGAATTGTCAGTTCTGTATTACTCGTTCAGCCTGTGCCACGAATTAGCCATGGCAATCGTGGTGTTTACAGGATAGGGTCATGAAGTCAGCTGCTTAGACGTTGCCAGAAAACTTGGCACATCCCATTGAGTTTTGCTTCAAAAGGACTCCATCCACTCCGAGTATCCAGGCTTAGTGAAAGTTGCAGTTCAACGACCACAGCCGGGAAATCTGTCGCCTCTCCCTGGCAATGGGTTGTCGGCCTCAGGACTGGATGGGCAAAATACAAGCTAGAGTCATGCAGTACCAAACTGGCTAAGTCTGACGAACTAACTCAGGATCGTTTGAGGGAGAATTTCAGGCCAGTTTAATCAAGCTTGTAAGCTCAGATTAGCAGGAGCTTCTCAAAAGTGCGGCTGGCCATCTTGGTGGTCAAGCACCGCCTGTCATAGAAAGGAGGTCAGAAGCCAGGGACATACCAGCCGAAGGCAGATCATGTTAAAGTTTAGATGAAGCACCGGTGGACCTAGTACGTTAAAGGGAATCTGCGGTTTCCCTGGTATAATATTCTTTGAATATATAGCCATGAGCATTTCTTTGAAGAAGCATTTTAATAGAAACGTCAGTTTTATTGTTGAGAGACTGCAAGGACAGTCTCTCTCTACACCATTACATTAAGCTGTATTGGTTCTAGTGCTTAGAATGCCCATTTAAAATATATTGCACATTTTATGCAAAATAAATAAAAATTATAAATGCACAATGAATTGTAAGTTAGTGTCTTTCCCCTCCCATAAAAAGGTGTGAAACGATTGCAACTAATGTATGGAATCCCACCAACCTATCCTAGAGTAAAATTGAATCCTACCCCAGCAACATACAAGTACCAAAAAATAAATAAATCACACCATTTTATAAAAATGATCTTACCTTGCATACAAACTCAATGTCTTCTCTTTCAATGTCTTTAACAACCATTATTTTCATTTTATTCAAAAAATGTAAAGCAAGGTCACTGAGAGCATCCCTAGTAAACAAGCAAAAATTTAAAGCATTAAGGCATTGCTCACATCTGAAACTAAAATAGTTAATAAATGTTAAAACTCCAGTGAACATCACACTACGAAGGGATGCAATCTTTCTGAGCCCTGCCGCCATGAACTATATTTCTTTCCTTTTGGACTAAATTGGGCAAGTGAATCTCTTCTGCGAACGGAATGGACTGGGGTACATGACAAGCTTATGCTTAGCTTCCCAATTTACAATTAGGAACCTGGATGGTTCATTGATGTTTTAATTATAACTAGAAAAGCTACAATTTCTGGGGAAATTGTGTGAAGTGTTCTTGCCTCCACCAGTAGTCTACAACTGGAGTGGGCGGAGTAACTTATTTATATAGCACATTTAATTGCAACGTTGTTGCACAGTTACATTAAACCATACATTTATAAAAACATTAGCAGGTGTTCAAAAGGCCCTGTCTATGACATCACTTGCCGCTGCAGCGAAGAGCTTTATATTGTGAGAATCACAAGACCCAGACCTACATTTTGATGCATAGTATGTCTCTTAAGTATTAAAAATGAAGGCACAGTCGCAGCTTAGAAATTGCACCTCAAATTTGAGCTTTGTAGAGTGAAGTTTCAATGAAAGTCAATGGACGGCGTTAGTTGCAAACAAATGATTATATTGTGAAAACTATCAGGACTACGGCTTAGCCGTTGACATGTTTAGTGGCAGCAGGGATAGCTGAACGTTTTGATATAAGATTTGTGTAGGTGGGCCTGAAAATAAGGAAGTGGTGGCAGTTTAGAAATCATGTCCTGATTTTTCAGCTTTTGCCAGCCATTCCTATGGGACAAATTGCGCCACAAGAACGACGATATTCCATGAACCATTCGGCGAAACGTTCCACAAAATAATAGCAATCCGATCGGGAACAATCTGCACGTTTTGGTAAATTTTTGTCTATGTAGTGTAAAAACTGTGGGAGGAGTTAGGGTGGCAAATTTGGCTATAATAAGAATAATATATATGTGAGATAACAATAAGTGGTCTTGCTATGCAAGAACACTTAATTAATAGAGATAATGTTAATTTTATTAATTGACTAATTCTACATGTAAAAAAAAAAAAGAACATTTCAAATAGCATTGCACATAGGAATTTGAAAGAAGATGGAAAGGTGAACAAAGAGAGTATGTGGGAAGAGAAAAATATGGGTAAGGGGATGTGGAGATGCCAGAAGGGGGAGAAAGGGGTAGTATTTAAAGGAAGACATAAGGTGGAAACAGAGAAAGGGGAATAAAGTGGAAGAAAGTAACAGTTACATTATTTGTGAGAATATATATATATCTCTCACACACACGCACACCTTTTAACCATCTTAAATACCATACTTGTTATATTATGTTAACATACCTTAAAATGGACTTCTGAATGAGTAGAACATTGCATCCAGATTTCTTAATCTGTTTTATAAGGTTGAGGATGTAGGTCCTCTCTTCCCGCAAAACTCTGTCCATCTGTGCGTAGTCTGAAACCACAATTTGGTTGTCCATCTGTAATGATACCGATATTTTATTAACTACACATGCAATATCATGCACTTAAAATAAACAGGAACTGTGTCCATAATTTCTTAGAACCCATCTTTAAAATAAAATGCAGTTATTAAGAATTCAAACTAAACCTGTCTTACAAAACGATGTCAAGAGTACTATCCAACTAAAACTGATTAAATAAGAGGACTTATCCACATGTGTGTGAAGAAATCCGGTTCAGAAAGAAAACATTTAGTTCATGTAGATTGTGCTGCATTACATAACTTTATTTTTATTGTGCTGGGACATCAAGCAAGTCCTATTACTCTTTACAACAGATGTCTCAAACTCTGGTTCTTTAGATGTTGCTACAACTTTCTAGCCATTTTTGTCATTCAGAGAATTGGAGTTGTAGGTCATTAACATGAAGCGCAAAGTCAGATCATTGCTTTACCGGAGGCCTCATGGTTTTCATTTAGTCTACGGCCAGTCCCTGCAGGCCTTTTAATGTAAAAACTGCAATTTCAGAGCAAAGGCAGTGCTTACATTACTGCCTAGGAACACCTCTAGTGGCACTCAGATGGCCACTAGAGTTGCTTCCTGGGTCAATGCTGAACAGTATGATGCTAAACGCTCCCTATAGAGATGCATTGATTTAATGCATCTGTATGAGATGATTAGTGCAGAACAGTGTTTTGCTGCACATACACAATAGCCTCCCAGTGCCTTCCTAAGGGAAAGCATTGGATTGGCTGAGATCATCTCAGCCAAGGAAGAAGAGCCACGTGTGACAAAACCAGAGCTGGAAAAATGGTAAGCAAACTCACCTTTTAAAAAAGGCATGAGATAGGGTCCAAGGACCTAAATAGTGTTATTACAACTATAGTGTCAGGAATACATGTTTGTATTCCTGATACTGTAGTGTTCCTTTAAAGAAAAAATGCCCACAAAACCTTCATGGTACTTACATCTGTTTTTGGTGCAGATAAGCAAAACTGAATGAGACCAATCTTTGCTTTTTCCACACGGGTTACACCAGTATTTGCAGCTTTCTGTGTAAGCACAAGGCCTTCAACCAATTCACAATCATCAATGGTACCACTAGAAAAAGATGAAACATTTAATAACAGTTCAAAACCTTGAAATTCACTAATATATTATCTGCAAAACCTAAAATACATTCAATCTGATATTGTTTATTTTTTCCCTCCCAATTGCTATTAATTTACGGTCTATAGAACATTAAATATTAACTTACGAGCTACTAATCAAGCTGTGGACACAGAATGGGAAAGCAACACTATGGAAAAATTCCAACACTCACCCAAGTTTCTTCACAATTTTTATGTCTCTTAGATCAACACTAGTAGCAGTCAAAGGATCAATAACCTTCAGCACAGCATCTACACTCATTGGTGCAAGCAAACTGGAATACTGAGACACAACCTGGAAAATAAGTCAGAGGTATGCATGTGATCATTGTTGACCAGAAAATACAGAATTGTACTAAGAATGGTAACTACACACAGAATAATTATGGGAACCGTGTGATGCATGCATAGCAAAAACCTAAGAAGCATTATGGTAATATTGTTAAAATTTCAGAATAGACACCATGTCCGCTGTAGTGTGTACCGTGCCAGGAGCTGTCTGGTTCCATATTACGGTCTATGAACAGTACAACACTAATCCAAGTCTCCTGGGCAAGCCCTTTTCTGAAACATCTAAAAACAAAAGTTTCACTTCCACAATTGATATAAATTCTGACCATATCAGGATAAAATTTGTTGGCAGAAAGCATTAGTTAACTCTGTCATTTACTGAACTCCATAAGCCATGCAAGTCGTATTTAAACATTGAGCTGCACAGAGCGCCAGGTGGTATGGATGCCTCAGGTAAGATTTAAGCTCATTAGAGCAGTTGTTAGTTTTGTATAAAGTAGGATGTGTAAAAATGGGTTGCTCTGTATTAAGTGGCAGATTTGTGCAATGTATGACCATATAATGTAACTTTCAGAGAAAAGGCAGTGTTTACAATGCTGCCTAGGGACACCTCCAGTGGCAGTCACTAAAATTACTTCCTGGGACAGTGCTGCACACTGTGCATCATGGACGTCCAGCGTCTCTAAGCTTTGCATGCAGATGCTGAACTTTCCTCATAGAAGTGCATTGTTACAATGAATATCTATGAGGAGATGCTGATTGCTTAGAATTTACTATCTCAGCCAATCCAATGCTTTCCCATTGTAAATTGTTTGCACCTCTGATAAGTACATGCCTAAGTTAACTTGAATTCAGTTCCTATTTGAAACATGAATAGGACACTGAGGTATACACATGTGCATTATGTACCTTGGAGTTCAATGAAGTTGAAGCACTGTTCAGTAATGTTTGTCTGTCACTTAATTCCACAGGAGTAGCCATATTGCTTAGAACTTCTATTCCTTTCAACACAGCCAACTGAAAGGACTCTGAAATGGTTGTGGGGTGTATACCTATGAAATAGGAAGACAACTTATTAAGGCACCAGCATATTTTACAGCACAGTAAATATTGCAATATACAGAACATTTTAAAGAAAAAATAAGTAATGCAAAATACATGATCACTCTATAAAATTCAAGTTACAACCCCAACGCTACACATCATCACAACTGCTTTTGCAGCAAAACTGATCAAATACATCCGAAATCTATGAATATGTAACAGCAGTCTGCATGTCCAACTACATCATGCAATAAAATTACTTGAAATTAAAACTTTTAGGATAAAGTGAAATTACTATGGAGAGTCATATTTTCCACAAATGCCACTGCCAGAGAGATAAAAGTATAGAAACATAGCCTCTGGACGCAGTTGCACTGGTCATATCTACATTACAATTCCGACCACACAGCCATGCAAGTCATTTGGTGGTAGGGTGGATACATGCACATCAGTGTTGGATGAAGAAATAGCCCAATATCAGTAGTATTTTCTGTCAATCAGGCAAAAGTACCTTTTTGTAACATATTGGCACAACAATCTAGAAGAGCTCCAGCAATGACCACAACAGATGTGGTGCCATCTCCAGCTTCAATGTCTTGAGCTTTTGACAATTCAACCAACTGAAAACACACAAAAACAAAGAATTAATGCTTCATCATAATCACATGCACAGGACATGGGTGACAGCATGCGTGGTTTAAAGCGGCACTGTCATACCGAATTCTGTTTTTTTTTTTTAACCCCTCTCCCGTCTCCACTACATCCAATTGACTCACTAGTCACCCCCAAATGCCCCTAAGCCCCCAGCATTACCTATTTTTGAATCCTTATTTTCTGCCCCGATCTATATTCAGGGCGCAGCCATCTTTGTGTGGGTAGGTGAAGTCCCTCAGGGACACGTCATCTGCCCACACTAGACAGATTGTGAGATTCCCGCACATGCCCAGTGAAACACCTGGACATGCGAACGGGAATTTCATCTATTCATTCATCAGACAAACGAATGAGTGAATAGAAAGATCAGCCGAACAAACTAACACTATGTATCAGTGTTAGTTTGTTCGTTCAGTTTATTACAAGGAGGGAGCTACCGGCATGCAGCTCCCTCCTTGTAATATGTAACTATAGAAGCGGCAGGGAGCAGTGCTCCCACCACTTCATAAGCCCCCCAGGTCCCCCTCTCACTCTATGGGGGTCAATATGACCCCCATAATAGCACAAGGGAGATAAAATCTCCCAAATGCCCCTACTCGCTATACCGCGAGTAGGGGCATGTCCACTAAACAGTGAGCAGCCTGTGGCTGCTCACTGTAAAAACAAAACAAAAAAAACAACTATTGGCCCCCACCCCTAAACAGTGAGAATGAGGGGGGTACTCCCCACCCCTGGGCGGCGGGTGGGGGCCATAATGAGAATGGGGGGACACCTACTGGATTTCAAGCCATCCAATCACAGTGCTCTGTGTCATTTTACAAAGCGTGGGAAAGTTCTTTTGAATTTTCCCACGCTGTGTAAAATGACACAGAGCACTGTGAAATGACAAAGAACACTCTGATTGGCTTAAACCCACCAGAGTGTTCTTAGCCTAATTGCAGGGCGGGGCAAGTCTTTATAAGCCTTCCCTCGCTCTGCGGAGCTCAGTCTGCGCGGAGCCCTCCATGGGTGAAGATGGATTATTTTTTTGCGCTCGGGTTTTTTTTTTCGTCTGGTTTTTTTTTTGCCGCTCGGGATTTTTATTTTATTTTCAATTTGACGGTTATGATGGTTTTTTTATTTGGCCTTTTTTGGGGCTGAAAAAAGAAGACGTCGAATGGTAAGTTTAATTTTATTTTACAGGAGAGGACAGTAGGCTGCTCACTGTTTACCAGACATGCCCCTACTCGCAGTATAGCGAGTAGGGGCATATTACTTACTAATACTAAGTAATTTTTACTTGGTATTAGTAAAGTTGGCTGAAAGACCAATTTAGGTCTTTCAGCCTTTTAGTAGATAACTCCCTGATACCATGGGAATTAGGGAGTTATCTACTAAGCGGCTGCAAGATGCAGCCACAGCAAGAATAGGATCAGAGTTTCATTCATTCGAATGAAATTCTGATCCGAATAAAGTGCCGAATTGCATTCTAAAAGAAACAAACAGACTGTTGTCATTCAGTTAGAACGCAATTCGGCAGTTTTGTGTAAAATGACAGGAAGCATTGTGGGAACACTGAGGAAAGCTAGGGATCATGGGAAAATTGCTCTGACCAGCGGAAATTAAGCACACTTTGCTCCTCCGCTGGTCAGAGCTGGTCAAGCAGAGGAATCCCCCATAAGGCAAAGAGTCCCTACTTTGTCTTATGATTTTAAAGAAAACTAAAGAAGACAGGAAGAAAAGAATAACAGATCCTGAGAGAGGGGGAGAAGAGGAAGAGATTGAGGAAAGGTAAGTTCGGCATGACAGTGCCGCTTTAAATGGCAGTGTGCCATTAATATACAAGCTATAAAACACAATCTAAGACTAATCACCTGTGCATTGTTGGCAAACTCAAATTTTTTTATTTATTTTTTTACACTTAAATTAACCAATCTAGGGTGCATTAAATGGACAAATAACTCAAATATAAAACATTGCTCTTACATAGAAACTGCAATGTTTACATTGCAGCACTAAGTCTGCCTTCACTAGCTGTCTACCAGACTTCCACTGGAGGGGCTTTCTGGCAACCAACAGACTTTTGGACCAGTAGCCGACGCTGGACGTCCTCACGCTCTGCATGAGGACATCCAGAGTCAGCTATTTCTCCTTAGGAAAGCATTGATTCAAGGCTTTCATGTGCGAAGGTTAAAAACGTGCATTGCGTAAGCACATCAGATCCCCAATAATAATATTATTATTATTATTATTAATAATAATAATAATGAAGTTAGAAGGGCTGAGGGAGACCCATTTCCTAATGTTATTCTTTATCCGCACGCAACGTTTGAGGAGTATCCCATTTTAATAACAGTTGGTAAAAGTGCCGGTTTCTATGAAATACCTCCCTGGCTGGCAGTCATGGAGGTTTGTTACTCAGTGAGGTTAACATAAAGTGCCAGACAAGCTCTGTTAGAGCCCACCTGCCTTTACCCACAGGAGACAGCGTGCCTGTGAACTTGTCTACAGGACTCCAACGTACCCAATCATCCCTGCTCTTCGCAGCAGCTTCCTCCTTGGTCACTCCTCGTGGTGCACATGGCTGAGAACCTGGTAATTTTCCTGGTACAGACTGGGTTAAGGGAAAGCAGGGGAGGGCTTGCAAAAGCTGCAGTCAAAAGAACTGTAGCTTTTGTTCATTTATTTATTTAGCTATAGCCCCGATGAAATTAAGCAAAATATTAAATAAAAAAGCACGCATTTCTTTATTGGGTGTATGTCAACTAGATATTGGTTTCCTTTTCAGATTTGTAGTGTGGTCCATTAAATTCATTTAAATTGTAATGGGGGTTAGGAATGTGCAGACGCCATCTTCACAACAGGGAAAAACTGATTTGCAATGGTTTATCACCAAGGTTAAGGCTCTAGTGCCCTGCACCTCTGCTTTCTGTAGTGCGAGAAGGATTTAGCCTGGTAGCCACTGATAGCGGACACTCAACTTATACCAAGTACTACTAGTACGTAGTTTGCGGTTTCCGGAGATACCAAAGTAAGTTAAATTGTCCTGAAATGGTTAGGAAAATTACTATGGGAGGGTGCTCCTGGCACCATAACCACTACAGCACGCTATGGTGCTTGCAGAGTTCCTTCCATAGACCAATGTGAGAAGCAATACCCGAAGAACAAATATGTTCGCAGCCGCAGTTATATTTACTTCACATAAACTCTTGAGATTAAAATTTTTTTAAATATAATAATCAGAGGTTATATTTTAATACAGAAGTAAAACATTTAGACAACCATTTTTCAATTACAGATAATTTTTTTTTAGCATGGACAGGTTTTGGTATATGCAATACATTTGAGTAATTCACACAGAAAATTGCATAAAATTCATATGATAAACACAAATTTATAATTATTGGTTTTCAGAAATTGTTTTTGCATATTAACTTACCATCTTAGCTGCAGGGTGCAGGACCTGCATCTGTTTCAAAATTGTTGCTCCATCATTTGTAATGGTTACATCCCCTTTGCCATCTTGAATCTTGAGAAACAAGGAAACAATTTTTTAATTTTATAAAAACAACTAAGTAGTAAGTCAAGTCATGCTGAGAGGAAAACAACATTTTGTTCTATGTATTGATACAAACAATGCATATCTATGGGGAACATTCAGAATCTCTATGCACTGAACAGTGGTCCATCAAAGATTACAGGACCAACCCCAGGAAGTCCCTCTATTGGCTATCAAAGTGTTCTGAAAACAAGGCAGTATTTACACTGACTCTGCAGGGACATACTACACTTAAAATTATAAATGCAACACTTGTTTTTGCCCCTAATCATGAGCTGAACTCAAAGATCTAAGACTTTTTCTATGTACACAAAAGGCCTATTTCTCTCAAATATTGTTCACAAATCTGTGTTACTAAGCACATCTCCTTTGCAGAGATATTCCATCCACCTCACAGGTGTGGCATACCAAGATGCTGATTAGACAGCATGATTATTGCACAGGTGTGCCTTAGGCTGGCCACAATAAAATGCCACTCTAAAATGTGCAGTTTTACTGTATTGGGGGTGTCCGAAAACCAGTCAATATCTGGTGTGACCACCATTTGCTTCACGCAGTGCAACATGTCCTTCGCATAGTGTTGATCAGGTTGTCGATTGTGGCCTGTGGAATGTTGGTTCACTCCTCTTCAATGACTGTTCGAAGTTGCTGGATACTGGCAGGACCTGGAACACGCTGTCGTATACGCCAATCCAGAGCATCTCAAACATGCTCAATGGGTGACATGTCCGGTGAGTATGCTGGCCATGTAAGAACTGGGATGTTTTCAGCTTCCAGGAATTGTGTACAGATCATTGCAACATGGGGCCGTGCATTATCATGCTGCAACATGAGGTGATGGTCGTGGATGAATGGCACAACAATGAGCCTCGGGATCTCGTGACGGTATCTCTGTGCATTCAAAACGCCATCAATGAAACGCACCCGTGTTCGTAGTCCATAACATACGCCTGCCCATACCATAACCCCACTGCCACCATGGGCCACTTGATCCCCAACGTTGACATCAGCAAACCATTCACCCACACAACGCCATACACGCTGTCTGCCATCTTCCCTGTACAGTGAAAACCAGGATTCATTAGTGAAGAGAACACCTCTTCAAAGTGCCAGACGCCATCAAATGTGAGCATTTGCCCACTTCAAGTCGGTTACGACAAACTGCAATCTGGTCGAGACCCCGATGAGGACGACGAGCATGCAGATGAAGCTTTTCTGAGACGGTTTCTGACAGTTTGTGCAGAAATTCTTTGGTTATGCAAACTAATTGTTGCAGCAGCTGTGTGGGTGGCTGGTCTCAGACGATCTTGAAGGTGAAGATCCTGGGCTGCTGTGGTTGTGAGGCCAGTTGGATGTACTGCCAAATTCTCTGAAATGCCTTATGGTAGAGAAATGCACATCCAATTCACAGGCAACAGCTTTGGTGGACATTCCTGCAGTCAGCATGCCTATTGCACGCTCCCATCTGTGGCATTGTGCTGTGTGATAAAACTGCACATTTTAGAGTGGCCTTTTATTGTGGCCAGCCTAAAGCACACCTTTGCAATAATCATGCTGTCTAATCAGCATCTTGATATGCCACACCTGTGAGGTGGATTGATTATCTCGGCAAAGGAGAAGTGCTCACTGTTGCCCAGTTTCCACTGAGCGGTACGTTTCGGTCTGGTAAGCTATTTTGAGTGTTTCTATTATGAAAGTGGCCCATACAACCGCACCATTCCTGGGCCCCCTCCAGATGTAGGTCCGTAGGAAATGCTACGGTACGGTTAGGGTGGAGCTACATTGATTGGCGGACAGGAAAACGTCAATGCTCACGACAAATGTGACTACTGGCGTCACACTATACAATCCATTGATTGGCGACAGGAAAACGTCAATGCTAACGACAAATTACACTCTAGGCATTTGGTCTAAACCCTGCATACCCCTTGTTGGTCCGGCTTGTAGTGGAAACGCTCACCTGAATAGGCTGGACCATTCTAACTCTTTCAAAGCCACACCATAGTGCTCAGAGGAAACAAGGCATAACACAGATTTAGACAGATTTGTGAACAATATTTGAGAGAAATAGGCCTTTTGTGTACACAGAAAGAGTCTTAAATCTTTGAGTTCAGCTCATGAAAAATGGGTGCAAAAACAAGTGTCATGTTTACAATTTTGTTCAGTAAATATTCCCCAGAATCACAACATTAAGCTGTAGTGGTTTTGTTGACTATGGTGTCTTTTTAATTGTGTTTGCAAGAGGTACAAAAATGTAAAGCCAAAATAATGGAGTTCGAAATCTTAAACTATGGGGTTTTCCCCCCCGAATTGGCTATTGTGTCATTAAATTTTGCAACAGGGTTTTTCAAATCACAGTTTAAAGAATTTAAGTGTCTATAAATATACATACCATTTTATCCATTCCTTTTGGTCCAAGGCTGGTTCTAACAGCATCGGCAACAGCTGTGAACAACAAAGCTTATTAAATACGTGTTGTTGATAATTCTAAATTGAAGTTTGTTTCAAAAGATGTCAATTAATGGCTTCAAACTAATGCACAAAGCAGTGACAGGTCTCATTCTTCATAAGAAAATACAGTGGAACCTAGTAACTCGAACGGTCCCGTTTTCGAACTATTCGGAAGTCTAACACAAATTTTGAGTAAACAAAAGTATCAGTATGCGAATGATCTTCAGTACCCGAACATCAAAGAGCCACTCACCGGGAACGTGTGACCCCCTCCAACCAGCTGTCACCACATCCACCCAATCTCACCGGGTGGGAGTTGACTAGCTGGGAGCCCATGAATGCATACTCTGCTCTCACTGGGATCGCCTGAGTGTGCTTGGCGGCTAGTGGATAGTGAGTTCTCTATGGAACACAAATTTTCCCAGGACATGGACCCAGGTATCTCCTCCGCTTCATCATCCTGATAACCTTCCTCTTCAGGCTCAGAGACCCTGTCTGAGGGGGACCCCAAAACCGAGGGGAGCTGTACTGACTGTGACTCTGAGGGTCCCCACTCCTTCCATCAAGGGGGAGCACAAGAAGAAGGTTGCACGTAATATAATTTGAGAATTATTTTTAAAGCATACACATAAATGTAAAATGCTGTAATTTTGGGGGTCTGGAACGGATCAATCAATTTTACATTAATGGGCCACTATAGTAACCCAGACCACTTCAGCTCAATGAAGTGGTCTGGATGCCAGGTCCCTCAGGTTTTAACCCTTCAGATGCAAACATAGCAGTTTCAGAGAATCTGCTATGTTTACATTTGGGGTTAAGCCAGCCTCTAGTGGCTGTCTTCTGGACAGCCACTAGAAGCGCATCTGCGACGCTGGAGGCATATTATGCCTCCATCGCGCAGAGTGTCCATAGGAAAGCATTGAAAAATGCTTTCCTAAGGACACTTTGAATATGCACGCGGCACTTGCTGAGCATGCACTTTCGGCTCCGCAGATGTCAGACGGGGGAGTGGACGTCGGCGAGGGAGGAGAGGACCCTAAGGGTGCACTATAGTGTCAGGAAAATGGCTTTGTTTTCCTGACACTTTAGTGATCCTTCAATTCTTATGGGAAATGTTGATTTGGTTCTCATAGAAATCGGAACTCGAACAGCTTTCTGGAACGGATTAAGTTCGAGTTCCGTGGTTCCACTGTATCAGAGTCACAGGAAGCAATAAGTGGAACGGTCACTTGTGTGATAGTGTAGGGGACGTAAGAAAACTAAAGAACACATACGTTCCTTGCATACAATATGTAAATATATATAGCGCCAACATATTCCGCAGCACTTTACATTATAAAAGCGGGGAATTTAACAATAAATGAGACAATTACAGAAACAGGCTGATGAGGACATTGCTCCAAACACACTCTTAGAGAATATCACAATCTATAGCTACCAAGTGGGAACGAAAAAGTAAGATGTGACAGGCTTCTTGGCCTGTCTAGTTGCCCATACATGGATAGGGTACAGCTAAGGATAAAGCAGCATGGACCATGCCACTCCCTCTAATGCTAGTAACTGGCTTCAAACAGGCTATTTAAATGCAGTTCCAAGTAGTCTTGTCATTGGTTACTTTAGCCTTCCCTATGAATATAAATTCAAAAGATGAATAAATATATATATTCATCTTTTGAATTTATATCTATCTATCTCAACATCCAAATCATCGTAAAAACACAGACACCAAAACGGCACATGAATATAAAATAAGCCACAACAATGACAGGCAGATTCAAACAAAATGGCTAATCAAAACCACTTTTAGTAAACCTCGAAAAGAAAAACTGAACACACACCCCACAGGCCTCTTTGTTACTTCCCATAAAATGTAACAGTGGACCAACAACCAAACAGGATTCCTGGTGACAGAGTAAATGCCAAATCTGGATTGCAGAGATCCAGGTAGCAAATCACAGCATGTCTCACACCTGCAGCCTGGCAGTCCAACAAACATGTACTACATATCCCATGGTACTCTGGGAGTACGATACACAGGGCAGTACAGCACTACATTTCCCATGATGCCCAGAATAAGTCAGACAGATCAGACCACTGAATTAGTATGCACACTCAAACAATATATTTCCTATCATGATCAGGCAGCCCCTGCCCTGAATAATCTCAGACATCCTATCAGTTCATTTCCAATGGCCCAATCAGTTAGTAATCCCAAACAATCCAGCACTACACTTCCCATGATGCTCAGGCAGTCACTGCCCTAAGTGATCACAAACACTCCATTTCCCATGATGCTCAGGCAGCCACTGCCCTAAGTGATCACAAGCACTCCATTTCCCATGATGCTCAGGCAGCCACTGCCCTAAGTGATCACAAGCACTCTATTTCCCATGATGCTCAGGCAGCCACTGCCCTAAGTGATCACAAGCACTCCATGTCCCATGATGCTCAGGCAGCCACTGCCCTAAGTGATCACAAGCACTCCATGTCCCATGATGCTCAGGCAGCCACTGCCCTAAGTGATCACAAGCACTCCATGTCCCATGATGCTCAGGCAGTCACTGCCCTAAGTGATCACAAACACTCCATTTCCCATGATGCTCAGGCAGCATTACCCAGGGGGTCAGGTGACATGGAAGATAATAAGGAGTTTATAACGCCATAAGGTACAGACTCACTGACAGTTACCCGTGATGGATGCTGGGAGTTGTAGTCCTAATGCCCATACAGGGGCTGAGCTTGGCCTAGTCCTTACCCTTTCCAGCCGAGATGTTGCTGTAGCGGATCTGGGCCGGCTTGTCTTTATCCTGGTAAGCACCCTTCCTCTTGCCGGCGCCGTTACCCCCGGCCTTGGCCGCTGCCATGGGTTTTGGAGCGGAAACGTCGGGCATGTTGGTCCCCCTGGCTCGCTGTGACCCCGCTGGTGGATGCAGTCACCGTTCCGCTACGGATAAGGACGGCTGGGTGGAGGATGCGTGCGGATGGTGACAGACCCCCCCTGACAGCGCGGACCCTGAAGCTTCTAGAACAAAAAGCCGGTTAGAGGCGGTGTCTCAGCGGCGTGAGGGAGGCCGTACTGCGCGATGACGTCAGAGCGCACCAGTCTGCGCGCCGTTACTAGGACAGGGGGAATGCTGTCAGAACCCCAGCATTGCGCATGCGCAGCAAGTGACAGCCTGACACCAATGCAAACCTCCCTGCTTCACTTGTTATATATTTTTTTCTTACAGAATTATTTTATATGGCCTCTATGTAGAAACCTTTATTGAGTCTCAGGGTTATTTATTCACTGAGAAGAGAATGGTGGATAATGGATTAATGAGTTTTAGCCCAAAATAGCTAAACTGGAAAAATATGGAACTATAGTTAAAGGATCACTATAGTGTCAGGAAAACAAAGCGGTTTTCCACTATGGTGACCTCTCCTCCCCCACTGACGTCAGCCGGATGTGCATAAGCGGCAAGTGCTGCGCGCATTCAAGCTGTCAATAGGAAAGCATTTCTCAATGCTTTCCTATGGACACTCTGCGCGATGGAGGCATAATATGCCTCCAGCATCACAGATGCGCCTCTAGTGGCTGTCCGGAAGACAGCCGCAAGAGGCTGTCTTAACCCCAAATGTAAACATAGCAGTTTCTTTGTTTACAGCAGGCAGGGTTAACCCTAGATGGACCTGGCACCCAGACCACTTCATTGAGCTGAAGTGGTCTGGGTGACTATAGTGTCCATTTAAAGCAGATCTGTTACCTCCTAGAGTCTTTGCAAATTTTGTATTGACCACAGATGGTGACTTCACTGTACAGGTGTGGTGGCCTGGGGGTGCGGCGGATGGGAGTTGTACTTTATTCTGTCCCTTGTGGTCACTGCCATCTTTGTAAGTGAGTTCCTGCCGTACTCTTGTACATGCACGAGAATACAGCACAGACCATGGGAGCCTTCATAGATATTATCGTGTGGTGAATGAGGTAATGCCTTATTCCCACAGCTGTCAACTGGGGGAAGTGACAAAAAGTTATTTTCTCTTTATTAAATGCTCAAAAAATATATATGGGTGACAGCACTACTTCTAAAAAAACACAATTACCAGAAACAAAGTGAGGTGCTGTAGCGGTACTTCCTCGGTCCTCGTGCCGGTCGGGGTCCTCTGCTTGAGCACTCCTGCCTCCAGGCAAGCCATGTGTGGCTCGAACACACCTGGCGTGCCGCGCGTGCCGAACGGTCTGATCGGGTGTGGCCTGCATCACAAGCACGTTCTTAACCCCTTAAGGACCAAACTTCTGGAATAAAAGGGAATCATGACATGTCACACATGTCATGTGTCCTTAAGGGGTTAAAGGGGAAATGAGAGCCTAACCTTGCGGTCAGCTCCCATTGGCACACGTCATTCTGGTGCCCCCATTCACGCACGTTTTGGGGCGCAGGCATGATGTGGACCAATCAAATGAAATCCAAGATTATTCAAACTTACCTGGCCCTAGATTCTGTCCCCTATTGTGGTTTCTGTTCCCAGTACCCTTTCGTGCGTTCAGTTATTGTATTGTATTCTGGTATCGACTTGGGCTTTGTTTCCTGACTGTGAGTTTATATTTAACCCTTATCTGTCTTATTTGCCCATCTGACTAATTATCATGTACCTGACTCTGGCTAGTTCTCATTTTTGCTGTCTCTCTGTTACCCAGACCTCAGCTTGTATTTCGACTATGCTTTACTCTGTCTAATGTTAAGTCTGGCCACTCTAAGGCCCGGTCATACATTTATTTTCCTTTGTTCGTTTATTGCTATACTAAACTCTGCATGTTAGCGTTATACTTTATGACAGGTGCATTCATATGCAAATGTTTATAGCTATCTACTGTATGGAGTCCTTGGGATGTAGTAGTATTACCAAAACTAAAAAAGAAATAATAAGCACCAATGTGCAGATCAAACCAATAACAAATAGTATTACAAAGTGCATACAGTGAACGTAAAATATCTGAATTGTAAATGTAAAAATCTTACTGTTAAATAATAATTAAAGGACCACTATAGTGCCAGGAAAACATACTCGTTTTCCTGGCACTATAGTGCCCTGAAGGTGCCCCCACCCTCAGGGTCCCACTCCCGCCCGGCTCTGGAAAGGGGAAAAGGGGTAAAACTTACCTTTTTCCAGCGCTGGGCGGGGAGCTCTCCTCCTCCGATCCTCCTCCTCCCCGTCGGCTGAATGCGCACGCGCGGCTGCTGCGCCGCATTCAGCCGGTCATAGGAAAGCATTATCAATGCTTTCCTATGGACGCTATGCTCTCACTGTGATTTTCACAGTGAGAATCAAAAGCGCCTCTAGCGGCTGTCAATGAGACAGCCACTAGAGGCTTTGGGGGAAGGATTAACCCATTTATAAACATAGCAGTTTCTCTGAAACTGCTATGTTTATAAAAAAATGGGTTAACCCTACCTGGACCTGGCACCCAGACCACTTCATTAAGCTGAAGTGGTCTGGGTGCCTAGAGTGGTCCTTTAAGTGCAAGACAATTTTGTAAAGTGCATATAGTGAAGGAGTTTAAGCATGCATGGGATAGGCATAAGGTTATCCTAGCTATAAGATAAGGCCAGCGACTAATGAAAGTATTTAAATAATTGGGCAGACTAGATGGGCCGAATGGTTCTTATCTGGCGTCACATTCTATGTTTCTAGTAAATGTAAAAAAATCTAAATTTGAATTTTGGATCTGGATTTTGGATGAAAAGTCTTAATACTAAATAATATTTTAATAAATGTTTATTGAAATTTATGAGAAATAACATGTAGACAAGGCTATAACTATATTGAAGATATAACTACAAAGGCAGCATATATCAATTTTTAGACGTAATTAGTCATGATACAGTGTTTGCGTGTAGATACTACAAATTCCATAATAAACATGCACTGCGCAACTACATCAACCACTATGATTGAATCCAAAGAAAAACAGCTCAGGACATAAAGGAAAGGTAAGTACTGATAAGGGGGGAGAGAGAGAAGGAGGGGAAGAGAGAAGAGAAAAAAGTGAGTTGGGAGTGAGAGTAAAGGTATGTATGAAGAAAGATAGGGAAGATAGGGTAAGAAAGTTTTAAGGAGGGTTGGGGCTGGTGCTGGTTATTCTCTTTGCACCAACGAACATTTCCATTTGATGTTTGTCTCCTGAATGCCTGTGTGGCAAATGTGCCTATACAACGAGCTCCTGGAGGAGTCTGCTAGCTAGCCTCCTGCCCAAGGACTATGGGCCATGTAACCGACCCTTAAAATACTTGGTTAGTTTGTTTTCCCTTTTTAGTTCGGGAACCGAACAAACTCATGAATTACGGATCACCTCTTGGCTTGTTAACCCATATTAACCTCTCCTGAAACCTCCGTCATTGTTTCACAGTTTGTATCATGTGTGGCCGCGGTTCGTATGCATGAATATGTGGGAACTGAGTTGGCGGCCATCATGTCACACGAATGCAAGCAGTGGTGTTCGGTCGTCAAGTGCATGGAACTGAAATCGGACAGACAAACTCGTGAACATCGCTGAACTTTGACAAACTTTTCCAAGAATGTCAGGAGGCCGCAGTTTTGTAGAAATGTTCACATGAACTGTGAGAACAATTGCTACCAATGAGCCAGAGGAGCTGTTCAGTAGTTTTTTCGTTTGGGACTCCCGAAAGTGACCGACTGCTACTACTTTCCTTATGGAACTATTTTGGGCAGAAGCCACGTGTGAAGTCAGTCAAAACTTTACCCTGTTGGCGATTCGGTTGTGTTCGTGGGATCTGAGCGCTTTTTGGATATGTTGGGCGCTCTGATATTCAGATATTAATATTTTGTGCAATGTACCTCTGTGCCTGGTAGATAATTAGTTCAAGCAAGGTACACTCAATGATCTCCCAGACACAGAGATGCCAGGGAGGAGTTTGTATGTAACTGTAAAAATTGCCTGTACCATGCCCCATTAAACTCAGTTCACTCCCAGCATTATGTCTTGGCTAATATCTGTGGAGGAAGACTATAACAGCTATAATGGCTACACAGATATACTCTCTGCAGGAGAGCTTTGATCACTGGAAGCTGGATCCAGGACCCTGTTCCAGGGTGGGAAGCAACGGCGAGACCCCAGCCAAGCTGCGGCGGCTAAGGGCTGAAGTGCTGATGGTGTCCCGGTGATAGCTAGGGAGCATGTTTGGCAGAGGTACCCAGTCGGATATCTTCCGAGGACAGAAACCCCAGCCAATAGAACTAGCGCCTCCAACAGAGCTCCTGTCTCCCAGGGGTATCTGTGCTTATAGTGTCCATCTACCTCGCCTCCTCAACACGGCCACACACAAAGATCGGGGTGGTGGTATCAGTTGCTTCCAGAACATTGTGTTCAATGCCTTAGCTGAGTCCAGGAGGCAGGGCACTACCGACTTTTAATATGCACTGTTAAATAATACCAATTAATTACAAAATAAATAAAAACATATAAATCACATATATACAATGTGTAAATAGGTGAACAGGAACAAATAAAAATTTTAATATAAAAATATCCATGGAACATGCGCGTATGAGATCTTTTTTTCTTATTTAACTTACTAGACAGAGAGCCTCGATTATGCTCAGTGTAACAGTGCCCAGATATAAGTTGTTCTGTGGAATTAAGAACACTCTCCAACCGGGATACTCAGTTTATGGAGTTTATGGATACCTGTTGTGCTGGTGTCCAGTGTGCCCAGATGGCATTATGTTAGGCAGAATGCTTACCTGCGCCTACAGTTCTTCCTCCAGCGACTCTGATGCCGGGGTTATTAACATCCACGAGCAAATAAAAATAGTTTGTAGAACAAACTTTAAGGCCTTTTCCTAAAATACTTTTTAGTGTTTGTGTTAATGTAAAACTTATTAAAAAATTTTTTCAAATTCGCATTTTGAATTACCCTGCCTCCCTTATATTATTTGCGTTTGATGAGACCTATCCCAAGCAGATCAAATATTTAATCTTCCATAGTCTCGTAGCGGCACTATCACTGATAGCTAATTACTGGATCCCTTTTCCAGAAATTTTAAACCAAATATACTGTACTGATTCTGATATTTTCTGTATTGTTACTGTACGGTTTCTGATATTTTCACAGGGCACACATAT